GGGGGGGCGAATCGTGCCATGCCGCGGGAATCATATCGTACCGAGCAGTAACAGCTTGACCTCTTTAGCCAGGCGCTTCTCATCAGCGCGAATGGCCTTGTCCAGTTCCCTATTCCGGGCGGCGCCCGCATCGTCTTGGTGGCCGCGTCCCCCGAAACACATCTTGGATGCTTGCGGAATCTTCGCTTGGAATCCGGGTTCCCGATCCCAAATTTCCCCCTCGTTGCTCGCCTTCTTTTATTTCCAATGACAGGCCTTCTCGGTGCCGTTCTCTCGTCGGTCGGGAAGCAGCCTTCGCCCAGTCTCCAGCGTGAGGGTCTATTCGAAGCTTGCACGAAGCGATTGGATGGGCGGCCCGATGGTTTTCTGACGGTGGAAGATGGCGAACAAAAAGGAAGAGCAGGTCAGGAAGAGCGACGGCGCCCTTGGAGACGATGGTCGTGGAGCTATGCCGAGGCACTGTTCATCTGGTCGGGGCTTTGTGGCAAGTCGGTCGGTCGAGGAGAAACACGGCAGTCGATCTCGAGCAGAATCAGTGAGCGTTGGGAGATGGAGGCGAGCTCAGGCAGCTGGGACCCTCCCTGTGCGAAGAAATGGGCACGGTATCCGCAGGCTCGGGCTGGCGGCGGCCTGCGCACTGTTGTGGAATAGGGGCCCGATCGAAATCGTCGCCGGCAGGCCTCAAACGCTGCAGAATCGGAGGGCGCTGCTAGGTAATAGCAGCGCGCAAAGACTCCCCTAGGCGCAGTGTGCGCAGAGAAGGCAGGTGCTGCTTCGGCCAGTCTTTGGGCACCTGGGGTGTTGGGGCTGTCAAGGTCGGATGGGCAGTAAACGAGTCGAGACAAGCTCAAGGTGTGGCGACGTATGTGCTGTTACGTATGGGCTGGTGCGTGTGATGCGGAGAGGCTAACCGCCGGTTCAAAAGGACCAACCCAGCATTGACGACACAGGAGATGGAGACAGACAGCCGGGAGGCAGGAAGGCCGCAGCCTACACAGAAGAGCAGGGACCACCAGGCCCGGGGTGGGGTGTGCGAAGGGAAAGAGCACCGCGACACCGTGCTTTTTTTTTTTCCTTATGCAAGATTGCACACCAACAGGGGACGAAAAAGAATGAGTAACGAGCCAAGCAACGACGAATGGGAGGCAGATCGAGACGGAGAGAATCAACCAAAAAAAAATTACAAGACAAAAAATCAGCGTAAGGAGAAAAGGCGCAGGAAACAACCAATCGATGCCGCAAATGAAGACGTCCAGAGGTAGAAAGTAAAAAAGAGAAGAAATAAAAGCCAACAAAAAAAAGGACAAAAACAACAAGAAGCACGCAGCAAGGTTGTGTGGATGCGGTCCCTAGTCCGTGACCCACAATCCGGTGACCGGGCCTGCGCCGCGAGGACCTGCCTTCTGGGCCGCGAAGCTGGGTTGCAGGCTGGGCACGGCAGGAATGCGAGCAACACGCGGGTTGAAGGACGGCTGGACGGGTGGTTGAGCTCGATGGAGATGATGGTGGGGCCAACGTGGAACGCGAGGACACAGTGGGTGTGGTTGCGGTAACTCAGCAATGGAAGGTCGGCCGAGGGCGGGCGCACCCCTCTGGGACCCCCCTAGTGGCGACAGGGGCACCGCCTGCTCGAGAGCCTGCGTCTCTTAGTTCCTTTTTAGGCTCGAGGCGGGCGGGCTGGCTTGCGAGTTGGCTTGTGGCGGGAGGCACAGAGACGGCGCGAGACACTTTTCGACGGCCGATCCGGGCGCACCCTATGTACGATCCCGTGGCTCTGTCTGGCCGCACCTCTCCCCAGGTTGTTTTCCCTTTCCTTGCTTTTCCGGCAAGCAGGTAGCCCATCCGGCACGTAGCGGCAGGCGGCCACAAACGGGAGCTGGGGTACGCTATTAGCGCCAAATGCCGGTTTACGAATGGGATGCGTCACCAGCTTCCTCAATGCACGCCGAGGCATTTGGCTGGTTCGCAATTATTCCGTCGACTTGGTCGTGGTGCTTGCCCATTTCATCCACCCATCCGCCCATGTCACCTCGGCCTCCAAGGTTTTTCGTTTTTCCAACCGGATATATGGAAATCGAAGCCGGATGGACACTGGCTGCTGCCACTACTCAGGACGCCAGAAATGGAGACAGACCACCTGGCCTAGCGCCACGGGCGGGGCCGAGCCAATAAACCGAACGAGCTGGGTCATCCCCAAGGGGCCGAAATGAGCCGAGCCCATCAATTGCTGGCAGATCTCAACCCACAGGCTCAAGTCCTAGCGGCAGGCTCCTCTCGTCTGTGTGTCCCGTCGCCCGATCGATGCCTGGTGGGTTTCTCGAAACACGGCAGGCCTGCGCCGGCTGGCTGGTATTTGATAGAAACGTTCGTCTCAGCCCAGTAGGCCAGGCACACTGCTGCACGTTTCCATGCACGGGGGCGCGGTCGATGGCCCTGCTGGGGACGTCAGTTGGGTCACCCAGCCTGGGTGGCACGCTCCGATATACCCGACGTGGTACCGGTAGCACGACGCACCGCGGGCACCCACGAGGCTAGGTAGGTGGCTGGCCGCCTGGGCGTGCCGGGCTGCCAGGTGGGTGAGCACGCAACACAGGTTCGTTGGTGGACAGCTGACTGACAGGGCAGACCAGGCACCGAAATCAAAGGATCGCTCGCTCCGATGGCGTTTTATGGGCCGCCGGTGTCAATTACAGCACGGCCAAATTGATGCATGACATGACTCCTGCGCAACCCCAGCTTGCTCTAATATTACGCCCAGTTGTTGGAGGGTCGTGCACTATTGGCCAAGGACGTGCGTCTACGAGAATCGCAGGCTCGCAGGCTCACTCACAGGCACCCGCCTCGGGCCTCGGGCTGCCCTTTTCTGTTGTTGCTTGCGACGTCAAGCTACAGCGCAGCTGGTCAAATGGGTTCTGCAAGCTTGAGACAAAGCCTGTGATGTTCTGTGCGCCTATGCGGCGTAGCTGCAGTAACAACTGCAACCCCTTTTTTTATGTTGCCTTGGTGAAGTCTCGCGCTGGTGGATCCCTTTTATGCCCGCCCCGCAAATCCAGTGCAGGAGCTGAGTGGCTAGTAAATTGGCGGATCAAGATGCGGCACCTAAACCCACCGCAGACGCGACGGCGCGTTGCGTGACAGTCCGGCTGGCACTCGCTAGTGCCAGACTCGCCAGCCGAAAATAGAAGCATTAATAAAAAGACGAAGGGGCGGAAGAAGAGGGGGGAGGGAAAGCAAGAAGAAAAAGGCGCAATACAACAGTATCGTCAAAACATCAGATGTTGGGCGCAACGTCGGCGGCGGGCTGCCCCTGTCTGCTCGATCGGCTATCACGACCACCACCTTTCATCAAACTGTGAACCAGCGCCATTCCCCCACGTGGGATTTTCTTGAGAGGTTTGTTTTCTTTTTCCTCCCTTCTTTTGCCTGTGCTCCGCTCCACTGTGGCACAAGACCAGCAGCTGCCCGGGCAAATCCCTGGACAGGAACCCGGGCCATCCAAGCCCGGATCGACAAAGGGCAACTTATCCACCAGAAGAAAGGATCACGTTTCAACAGGGACTCCCACGAATCGCATGTCATCAGCACTGATTGGAACTAGAGTAGTTTAGGACGTCGATTCTGCCCTCGCCTAGTCTGCTCTGGGACATGGCAGATTTGTTGCCGTTGCTTGAGTTTATTGTCTTAGGGGCAGCATCATCCGCCCACGCGTTCGCATTCGCCGATGCATTCGTACGGAGTACAGTGGCCAGAACCGCAGGGGTACAAGCTGGTGTAGGGAGCTAACGGATGGAAAAGATCATCTACTCCAGTCGTCAAGCGATCCAGCCTCCTGTCCCCGGCACCCACGTTCTCTTGCACCAGTCGTTGGAGCGTGGTTTACATTAAAAACCATTCCCCAGAGGACGCGCACGTTTGTCACGCTGAGCCCACTGAGCACGGCCTGGCCTGGGGGGGGCTTCGAATCGCTGCGCACAGCCAGCCCCGGCTGTCACAAGCGACTCGGGGGAGCCCACCGACTAGACAGCAGGAAGCAGCGGACGCGGCCATGGCGCAACTTGGGCGATGGGAGCCCAAGAAGTTGGGACGGCCCGTGGCCAGCTCTCTCCTCGGGAAGGATCTCCCAAGTGCGCACTGATTCCCGAGATCGAGTTATGCCCGGCAGGACTCCACATGGAAGCCATCCTCCCGTGGTGCGCTTGGGATGGACTGGGGTTTCTGGCGACCCAGCCGCGTGGCAGGAACACGCAGGTGGCGGCTCTAATGTCGAGGTGGGCTGGGGTTTACGAAGAGGATGGAGCATCCAGCCTCGGCTCGCACAACACGCCGCCCGGTTGCACGCAAACTCTGCTCTCAGGTCTGCCAAATCGTGGCAAACCACCCATGCTCAGGCGCCGAAACAACACGAGAGAGAGAGAATGCGCCTATCGCGAACCCGCCGGGACACCCAGCACCACGTGCTGAGATGCGCCCGAACCCGCCGGCTTCCCCAGCGCTCACGAACCATGCGCTGGGCTTCGAGGCTGGCCTGGAGCGCCGTGGGCCCTACGCGAGAGCGTTTTCATGTTAAGCCGCAGCGCCAAACTTATCCCATCTTTCTTTCCTCCGGGGGGGATTTGCTGTGGGCAGAGATAGCCTGCTGCTGCTTGCGAGACGTGACAAATGCTGTTTGCTGTCTAGGGTCCCGAGATGTTTTTTCCCGCTTTGTATAGACGTCTTTTGTTCCCCCGCCCGCGAGTTTTTTTTTTTGTCTCATCCAGTTGATTTACTGCAAACACACACTGCAACGCGGGTAGGAAAGCGGTGGAGAGCATTTGCCGTGCTTGAGTGAGGGGCAGAAAAAACTTTGTGGGCACCATACATATCAGCTATACCGGGTACTTAGCCAAGGCCAAGACCAGTGCAAGCTGCAAGCAAAAATATTTCCCGCTGCTTTGCCAGAGAGTCTTTTGTGATTTTTTTTTCTCGGCGTCCCTCAGTTCCTCTCCCCGGTTGAGAGTTTTTCCATCGTTGACGATATCCCCTTTTGAATTCCCACCAGGCTTCCCGCTGTCAGGAAACCCCGCCAAGATGAGCGATGAGATCGTCCACGAGACCATCAAGGGTAAGTCTCCTTGTCCCAGGGGCTCCTGCCGCTGTTGCGCATTGAGCGCCCGCCCGCCGCAATTTCACCCCGCCATCGCCTCCTAGAGCCGCCCGCCCCATGAACCGTTTTTTTTTTTTTGTTTTTTGCCTGGTCCCGCAGATCGTGTGCGGTTGCGCCGCCGTCAAGCCACTGCAACCGCTGGTGTGCCGCAAGACACCACCTACGCATATGGGGATCGGCATGCTTGCTGCAGACATTGGGTGATGGGACCACGGGCGGTGGTGCAGGGCAAATCCCACCGCCTGACCTTTGCTCTCGCAGTCGTTCGATGATTTGCTGGGTGGACACGCACCTAATGTGCCCCCCCCACGGATCCAGCCCATCGATGACAAGACTCCCCTCGGAGAAATCTCCCCGGCCCCCCTTTCTCGCTCGGATAGGGTCCCCTGACAACCGGGAAATAAACGCGCCGAAGGGGGGAGGCATCGCCGGGAGGTCGACCGGGCAATGTGCGGCCTCGGCCTCGGAGCCGCCGTGGGCGGAGTGCTTGGACTCGGCAGGCGGTCGGCGTGGCGGCACCAGGTCGTCAAACCAGTAGCGCTCTTGCGATGCACCACCACGGCTGCGGGAACCAATGGCGGTGTTGTGGTCAATGCTGACAGGAAGAAAACCGAACAACGCCTTACAGATGGGTGGTTCCGCGAAATCTCCGACATGTGGCCTGGTAAGTCGAAAACTGGGAGAGGGACACCCCGTTCGCTGCTCAAGTGGCACGCAAGGCTGACAGCACCACCTCGGATGGCATGCAGGCCAGGCCATGACGCTCAAGGTCGACAAGGTGCTGCACCACGAGAAGAGCCAGTACCAGGACGTGCTCATCTTCAAGTCAACCGACTACGGCAACGTGCTGGTGCTCGACAACGTCATCCAGGCCACGGAGCGCGACGAGTTCGCGTACCAGGAGATGATCACGCACCTGGCCCTCAACTCGCACCCCAACCCCAAGAAGGTCCTCGTCATCGGCGGCGGCGACGGCGGCGTGCTGCGCGAGGTGGTCAAGCACGACTGCGTCGAGGAGGCCATCCTGTGCGACATCGACGAGGCCGTCATCCGCCTGTCCAAGCAGTACCTCCCCGGAATGGCCGCGGGACTGACCCACCCCAAGGCCACCGTCCACGTCGGCGACGGCTTCAAGTTCCTCGACGAGTACAAGAACGCCTTTGACGTCATCATTACCGACTCGTCTGACCCCGACGGCCCGGCAGAGAGCCTGTTCCAGAAGTCCTACTTCCAGCTGCTCCACGACGCCCTGCGCGAGGGCGGCGTCATCACCACCCAAGGTTGTATGTTCTCCTTGTTCTGGACGAGAAGATGCCGAGCGCCCAAGCAGGAACTGCCCAACTTCTTCTCTTTATCATGATTCCCTGGAACCCCACCTGAGAGCGATTCCTGCGAGATGAGAAGAAAAAAAAAGAGAATGGCTTTTCCATGTCCTAGCGCCAGTGGCGTCTTGAGTGCTACAGAACCACCATGGCAAGGCCCGTTGGTGTTATTTGGGAGAAGAGAGGACCACGACTTGGCTCTGGTTGATGTATTGGGAAAGGGTTGGGCGTTGTGCACCTGAGTTTTCGTGTGCGCTTTGTCTTCTTTGTTATTTGATTCTTTTGGTTTTGCGACTTCATTGTCTGCCATCGCTATTGCTATAGTCAAACCGGACTCCCGTGCCAAAATACTAACCACCCCCTCTTGCGCCGCCCGCAGCCGAGAACCAATGGCTCCACCTGCCCCTGATCACGAGGCTCAAGAAGGACTGCAAGGAGGTCTTCCCCGTGGCCGAGTACGCCTACACCACGATCCCGACCTACCCCTCGGGCCAGATCGGCTTCATGGTCTGCTCCAAGGACCCCAAGGCCGACGTCAAGGTCCCGCTAAGGAGCTGGACCAGGGAGGACGAGGTGGCCAAGTGCCGCTACTACAACGCCGACATCCACAAGGCCAGCTTCATCCTGCCGACCTTTGCCCAGCAGGCGCTGAACTAGTCGGGGGATATGGGTTTGGGGATCCTGTATCAAAAGTTTTACGGGATGGCGCAGGCTGTTCCCTGAAAAAAGAGCACGGCTGCCACGTAGCGTGTCTTATGATTAAGTATATGTCATACAGGGTGGCTGGGATGAGCTGTGTATTAGACGAGAATGCTCAATGGAGCCTCACTCAACAAAGTAAAAGATCAAAGGACTTTGTCCAACACCAGTGGCAACGGCCGCGTTACCCTGCTTTGAAACCGCGGCGGGAGTTCTTGATGGCCGCAGTCGTCTCTCGCGACACCATGGACATGAACAAACCGTTCTAGAGCTTCACCCCGGCGCAGCGGTTAAGCCAAGACCAGGTGCCCGAGTTAGGCTGGCTGGTATCCTATATGACATGATGGGATAGGCTCCGGTGTTGAGGCTAGGGCGGCGGCGACGGCTGCGGAGCGGGGGAGACGGGGGCTTGTTGCCATGTTCGATGCTGCCTTTAGGAGGCGAGAGAAAGCGTTAAGTTTTATAGGTTGAGCATTCCCGGTACCTGCTGGAGATGGAGATAGTGAGGGGGCCTCCCAGCTCACAAAAGAGATGGCAATCTTATAGGTCCCGGGTATTAGAATCATTGATGCTAGGAGGCTTTCCTGTTCCTATCCCCATTCCTGCTTTTCTTCGTTTTTTTTTTCCTCCCTGTTTTATTTATTTTCTTATGTCTGTTTCTTATTATCTATCATTCTCATCCATTCCAATTCCCAAAATAATCCCCGAGGCCCGTACTGGCGGCTACCCGAAGAGACCCTAACCCCCGCATCTCGGCTCAGCGACGGCTAACATGACCCACACTGCCGGCCGCCCCTCGGACGCCTACCGAGGGCGGGGCGACATGGGCCCAAACGCATCATCACCACCCGCCCTCCCCGCACGACACGCTCACACATAATGCGGAGAGCCCTCACAACTGCGGCGGCGGCGGCGACGACGAGGACGACCACCCGCACCACCACCATCTTCTCCCCCGCCTCACAGCCCACCGCCACCACCACCATCCCTCACAGACCCAGGTTACCGGCAGCACCACAACACCCCTTCTTCCCAGCCGCGCGAGTCGCCATGTCCTCCTCCTCCCCCTCCACCACCACCACAACACCGGCGCCATCCGCGCGCGACGACCGCGGCGCCGTCCTCAAGCGGCCCGTCCGCATCGCCTGCGTGCAGCTGTCGAGCGGGCCCGACAAGGCGGCCAACCTGTCGCGCGCGCGGGCGCGCGTGCTCTCGGCGGCGCGCGACGGCGGCGCCCACGTCGTCGTGCTGCCCGAGTGCTTCAACTCGCCCTACGGCACCGCGCACTTCCCCGCCTACGCCGAGCGGCTCCTCCCGTCCCCTCCCCCCGCCGACGTCTCCCCCAGCTACCACGCGCTGGCGGCCGCCGCGCGCGACGCGGGCGTCTACCTCGTCGCCGGCTCCATCCCCGAGCTTGCGCTGGAGCGTGACGACGACGACAAGGGCGGCGGAGAGGTCAAAAGGTACTACAACACGGCCCTCGTCTTCTCCCCCGCGGGCGACCTGCTCGCGACGCACCGCAAGGTGCACCTCTTCGACATCAACATACCCGGCAAGATCACCTTCCGCGAGTCCGACGTGCTCTCCCCGGGGTCCGGCGTCACCCTCGTCGACCTGCCGCCTTACGGCCGCGTCGGCGTCGCCATCTGCTACGACGTGCGCTTCCCGGAGCTCGCGGCCGTCGCGAGCCGGCGCGGCGCCTTTGCGCTCGTGTACCCGGGCGCCTTCAACCTGACGACGGGCCCGCTGCACTGGGAGCTGCTCGCGCGCGCGCGCGCCGTCGACAACCAGCTCTACGTGGCCCTGTGCAGCCCCGCCCGCGACCTGGCCGAGGGCGCGTACCACGCCTACGGCCACAGCCTGGTCGCGGGCCCCATGGCCGACGTGCTGGTCGAGGCCGGCGAGGGCGAGGAGACGGTGTACGCGGACCTGAGGCCCGAGGACATTGAGAGCGCCCGGAGCGGCATCCCGCTTCGCACGCAGCGCCGCTTCGACGTCTACCCGGACGTTAGCCAGGGCCGTGTAAAGTTTACGGATCCGGGGGCAGATGGGAGATAGAGATGGGGGGCCGTGGCGGGCCATGACTGAGACGAGACGAGACTGCGGTACCGGTAGAACTGTATTGCCCTGCGGGAATCCGAACGACTATTCGTAGCCCTACGCAAAACCCTGCAACCCGTTTTTTTTCTATAGACGTACTGTTGTCCCTCTTTCTTCTTCAATCAAGAACCCAGTTTCACTTTGATTCCCGCCGGGGTGCCAGCCGAGAGCATAAAGCGTAGAAAGGAGGACGATGAGTGGGACCCGGGCCACACCTTCCTTGACATTTGAATAGGGAACACAAGATAGGTGAGCTCTTGAAATATACAGAGGAATGAAGACGAAACATGATGAAAAGAAAACACCGGGGCCCGGCGACGTGCGCGTGCTGTACCCGGGCTACATCACTGGCGGCTTCCCTGTCGACTTCGCCTCGCGCCCTGCCACCATATGAGCTCCTGGATTCGCGTCTTGGTAGTGGTCCCACGGGATCCGTCGCCAGCCTTCCCCAAGTTATAACATTTTAACAGGCTGAAGCATCAAGTCTCTGTTGATATATGCATTCGATTTATATAAGGCAAGATGTCAAGCAAATACACGGCACGTTGTGTGCTCAAGTTCCAGGTATCTCGGAATCAAAGAAACATCCCCCTCCTTTTCCCCTCCGCCACCCATTATCCTTGCGGCTAATACTCCAAAAACTCCAGCGTGGTCGCGCTGCACTAGCCAACGATTTCCAAAATGGGCACAAGACATTAAGAACGGCAGCAGACAAGCAAGTTACTTGCTGCGCAAGAAAGAATACATTGTGTACAGAGCGGGTGCATCGCACCCGCTTTCAAAGACCCCTTACCACTGCGGCCTTGTCGCGGCCGGCGCCGGTGGCGGCGGGTACCTCCCGTAGCCTGGGTGGTTGAGCACAGGGGCCATGGGCGCTCCAGACGGCACGCGCACGCTACCATTGCTGTCGACTTCGTGCAGCTCATACTCCTCGCTCTGGTAGTAGTCAGCCTGCTTCCCTTTGATGTCGGAGAAGCCCCATGGGCTGGTTTGGGTGTGGTATTGTTGCGGCTGCTGGGGCGGCGGCGGGTACTGTTGTTGCTGTTGCTGGGCCTCGTGCGACTGCATACTCTGCGCCGATGCTTTGGATCGCAGGCTGGGATCATCGCCGCCGAACGCGAGGCCGATGTCCTGAGGGTAAAGGCCGCCTGGTTGGTGTTGAGAGTGTTGATGTTGTTGTTGTTGTTGTTGTTGTTGTTGTTGTTGTTGCTGCTGCTGTTGCTGAGCCAGTTGTTGCTGATGTAGTGCAAACTGCATACGATACGCTTCATCTCGCTCTTGCTGCATCTGCGCCAGCTGGAACAGCTTCTCTTGGGTGCTGCTAGGCCAGCCCCCTGGAGAAAGCCCGCCACTGATACCGGCCTGCTGCGGCTGCGGCTGCGGCTGCGGGTAGCCATCGGGCTGGGGCCACTGCGTCGGCGTGCTCTCCTGCCCGCTAACGGGGCTGTTGAACTGGCTGCTATATGGCGAGAAGTAGCGCGTGGGGAAGTTGGACGGGCCCGCCCCTCCCGCTCCGCCCTTCTCAACAGCGGGCGACAGGCCCGTCGAGAAGCCCGTCTGGTCCGTGTGCGCCGAAACGGGCGACTGCTCCCAGCTCGTGAAGAGCGGCTTCTGGCTGACAGGAGTCTCAAACATGTCGCCCCCCTGGCTCCCGGGCCAGCGGCCCCTGCTACCCCCACCTCCGAACCCGCCGCCGGTGTGGCCTTGGGCCTGGCGCTTCTCGAGGTTGCGCAGGAAGGCCCGGCGGCGGCGCCTGCCGTTGCAGATGATGCCGCAGCCCGCAGCCAGCAACAACAACACGACACCCGCGACCGCGATGCCGACCTTGGCGCCGAGGGTAAGGGGACCCTCATCTGGTCTGAAGCTGCCAACTAGGGAAGGATCGGTGACCTTGATGATGGAAGACATGAAGGGCGCATCCGAGACGCTGATCTTGCGGCCCGCTTCGGGCTGCTGCTGGCAGCCGGCGTCGAGCACTGTCATCAAGTTGGCGGCCACGTAGTGATGGCCAGGGGCCAGGCAGGCACTGCATTTTGTAAATTGGAACTCGTCCCAGAGCTTGCAGTAGTCGTACGGCTTCGCCGTGGTCGACAGGTTCTGCCACTGTAGGGACTCCTTGAAGGGCTCACACGCGGTGCTGACGTGGGACGGGTTAGCACTGTGCCTGTCCGGGCGGGCCGCTCTGAGCGGCGTGGCGACGTGGCCGTGCTGACAGGACAGCAAAGGGAGGCAAAAGAGCTTACCGTGTGAGGCATGGCCCAGTGTTGAGCTTCTTGGCTTCGTTGTTGGGGAACCCAAATAAGCAGGTTGAAGATGTGTATCTTAAGTTATCTGATAGACAGGGGCCACGGCAAGCGGTTAGAACCCGTACTCTCCTGTTGCGGTCTTTGCGGACCGACGTCAAGGGGCGCTCGTCACTTACAGAGTAGCCACTGCAGGTCGGACTGGCCATCATCGCTGATGTACGGGCTCGCCATCTGGCATTCGATGCAGTTCTTCAGGACGGTGCCGGCGGCCGTGGACGAGTATTTCGAAGGGTCGTCGAAGCACTCCATGTCGTCGGGCGTGGTGGCCGAGAGCACGTTTCCGCAATCCTTGGAGCAAGGTGACCCCGGCGCCGTCCTCAGCGCACCGGCCGACGAGGCCAGGGCCGTGACGATGACAAGCCCCGATCGTGACAAATGCATGGTGAATGTGGTGCGTCGTGGATTGGAATCGCAGGTTGCCGTCCGGCCAGTCACCTGGGCCTGAATGGTTATGCGCTCGCTGGTTGGCTGTGTCGCGCGCGCAGACAGACACGGCCGCTTTTCTGGCCCAACACTGACTGCTGCCTGTGGTCGCTGTGCTGCTGGCCCGGTGTTGTGTCGTGAGAGGCAGGGAGCCGAGAAGGTCGGTCGAGTCGCTCGCAGTTCGAACCGCGGATGGCGGGGTCCCTCACACAGACGCACGCACTCTATGTATGTCTCTGTACGTACCCGCCACTTGCGTCTTGTGTGCGACGGCAGGGCAGAAAAAGCCGACACCGACTACCGTCAAGTAACGCAGGGCTTGCGAGGCGTCCCTGATGCCGGTCGGGGGTGGCACAGGGTAATCGTTCGGGGGGGACACAAGGAGGAGTCTTGACGCAATATACACGGGCAGACGGCGTGGAGCCCGCGGAGAGGCTCAAGCCGGGATATATACAGCCATGGAGGAGGGGACGAGGGTTCGGGGGGTGGGTGGGTGTGGTTTGTTGGACGCCAACAGCCACGACGATCTCCCGGAAAGCTGGGATCAGCTCGCAGGCGCTAATGAGCTGCAAAGGGAAGACGAAAAACGGGGGGCGAAGGGGGAAGTGAGGTGACGGCAAGCAAGCGGCCGGAGGTTCCCACTTCAGAGTTGTGCCAGGAGGTGTGATGGCAGCATCTGGTCGCGCGCATGTGCTGTGCTTGTGCTGGGCTGGGGCAGATGGGGAAGAATGGGCAGTCGTTTATTGGGGGCCAAGGGCGGGTGCGTAGTGCCAGGGCCAGGGCCAGGTGGGGGGGTCTCTCGCCGGGCTCGTACACATCGTCACACCCATCACCAATTGGGGGCCGCGAGGGGCGACCCGAGGGGCTCTTGTATCGGGCCTTGGCCGCAATGTCCCCGCCCGTTACTGGCGATGGGCCTTCCGGATTGGGGTGGTGGTGGTGGAGAGAGTGCTGCGAACCATGCGAGCCATGCGAGCCATGCGGGCATTTCTGGCCTCCTCCTGCGGCCAGGTCGGGCCAGGCAGTGTGGTAGTCTGCGCTGATGCGACCACCACCACCACCACCACCTCTGAGCTAGGTGCCAGGAAGCCGCGACCAAGCTGTGTGCCTGCTGCTCTGCTGAGTGGGCAGGCACCGCGGGAGCTAGGTATCGGCCAAGGTGGGGTGGGGCCCTCGCCGGGCTGCGTCCAATGATGTCGCCGTCCGTTCATGCATGCCGTGAGAGGTGATTGACCAGACTGGCCACTCACAGGCCCGATGAGCCCTGCTGCCGCCTGCGCTAACCCCAATCTGCCAACAAGCTGTAAGGAACCTCCCTGCACGCCACCGCCCATCCCTCTCTCCCCCAGCCATCTTCCGTGCTCGACAACTCCTCCCCCGGCCCGTGACCCCATCGTCTTTCGTGATCACGCTCGACTGCCAACCAACCGTCGGCGTCCTGCCCCTGGCTTTGCCGTGCCCGTACTCCGGACTAACCTAGAGCACGCGCAACTATCGACCTCGCAAGCGAGCCTCGACTGTGCCGGGTCCCCAGCTGCTGATTGGACGGCAGCCAACCCCTTGCCTGTCCTCTCGAGACAGGCTGCCAGAGCGTTCCCACCCACTGAGCGACCGGTTTGCGTTTGCGTCTGCGTGCTGTCTTGCGTCGTGCGTCTTGGGTGCGTCGGCATCGCGTGGGATGGGTGGGCCGGCCGTTCGTTTTCGCGCATCCTGCGCAGGCCTTTTGAGCCGACCCTTCATCCTGCAGGCGGGGGCCTCCTTGCCACGAATCCCACAAGGGAAAATGGATGGCAGATGGCTTTGTCGATTTTTGATGCGGCTGTGACGGAAAAAGCCAATAACAATAACACAATAACACAATAACATGGATGCGCCGCCCCCAATTAGCTTCAGCAGAAACACGGTCTTTCTGCGGCTTCCACCAAGTTTGGTCTTTACGCCATACGCAGGGGTCGGCATTTAATCCCCCGCGCTGGCTGGGCTCATCTGCTGGGGGAAGGAGGGCACCAGACTCAATTTGTGATGCGCCTCGGGCATGCATTGGGATGGAGCTAAATGTGATGCTGACCTGCTTCCTTGCCTCTGCCCTGACCAGTCGCCCAGGCCCCTGACTGGCCCGCTTTGAAAGCTGTCGGCGATCACTCGTCTTCACCGCACGACAGTTCGAACGCCTGGGGCAGGGCAATTCGCCAGGCCTCGTCCGCTACCGGGTTCTTCTGTTTGCCGATAGCAGATGCGGCTTTCTTGATCCATGCTATCTTCCATTGTTCAACACAATTACTGGTACTTTAGACAAGAAAGCAAACAAGACGTCAATAATAGCAAAGGCGCGAACAAAATGTCACCCAGGAATCCTCTCCAGTGATACCCTCCGCCAACAGGTTTGGTGGGTGCTTGTGTATATATACATAGGTTCCAGGGATCACAAGCACTAGTGCGGTGGAGCAAAATACATTTTTTTCCCCTAGAAAACCAAGCCAACTGATGTACCACCAGGATCCACTGTACTAAGGTTTGTGATCCTTGGGACCTGTACTTGGTGGTCAGCTTGTCGCCAAGCCTCTTGGGCTTCGCAATGTTGCATTCACTAACCGCCTGCCACCCCCATGGAGCCATCGAGTAAGCATTTGTCGTCCACCTTGGATTTTGTCAAAATCTCTGCTGTGTGCGTCGGCGTGATCCGCCTCCTTCAGGGCATGCTCTGGCTTAGCCGCCACAGCGCATCTGACTGCGGGTTCACGGACGCAGTCGTAGGGAGTTGGGAGGCACAAAGAACCAAGCAGCGACCGAAATGACTTTCTCAATATAGCAGTCACAGTCACATTTACTATTGAAGTCACAATCGGGCTAGTGGTCAGCCAGTTGCTGAGGAAATCCGGGTTGAGCTCTGCACGAGAGCCGTGGAGATTATTGAACCAAAAGAACAGGTTCAGTCCCAGCCACGAGGCTAAGAACACAGCCACTAGGTAAGGTAACCGAGATAAAGATAAAAATAAACACAGCCTTGGAAAGAAGAAGTTCTCGGTCGTACCCACATTACCCGACATCAGCCGCAGACGGATGACTTGCAGGAGCAATCCTGCCGCATTCAGCCGGGCTGTGCCAAAGAGAAAATCCCTCGCATCGACGCAGGCCGGTCCGGCTTGCCTGGTTTGTCTATTCTGACGCTGAAACCTCAGGCAGAAGCATAGCTTATCGATTAGCACACACATGCGCTTGGTGGCGTTTTGTGTTGCGTCCTGTGCCATCGAGAGTCAGCAAGCTGTTCCAATCAAACCCGTCGTTGGGTGCGCTTGTTGGGGCCCAAGTCCTGTCGTAGACGCCATCTCTGAAACACGGCAAGGAGGCGGCGCGCACTGCTTCTGAAACCTGGGACCACGAAGGAGGTCAGTTTCGGCGGTTTGCCTCGCAGCCTCGTCGAGGAGGGACGATGGAGGGGGGAAGATAGATATCTGACTTGGCCTGCTTCTCTTTCTTCCAACTCTGGTCTTGTTCTTGCGATTCTTGGTCTCTTTCGTTCATGGGCATTTTGTTGCAGAGTGCCTTGCCCGACCCCCCTAGCAGTCTTTTCCACATCCAAATTCTCGTTCCGCTCTGCTGCGGTGATTGCGGCGGGCACCCTCTAGTTCCAACTCATTCGAGCTCTCCTTCCCCCGCATCTTCTACCAGAATCCGCCCTCGCTCATGTTTCTCGACACGACTTGCCCTTTTTACAAGGAGCACCCCGGCCCCTGGCACGGATAGATCCGATCGTCCGTGTCACCCCATCTCCCCCGCCCGCTTCCCTCCACCTTGACAGGGACCTCCTTGGTCGCTCATCATCCCATTCATCGCCCGGCTCGGGAACGTCGCCAAGCACTTTCTGGCTTTTGGGGGCGGGTTGGAAAGTCTGCAGGCCCAAGGAGCAGCGCCATCAGGAACCGACATGGGCGCACCTGCAACTATCAGCTCGAGTCCTACATTGAGGCCCGTGTCGTCACCCACGGCTTCATTCCAGGACCGACGCCGTAACCACGCCCCTCTTTCGCGAGGCTGTCAATCGCTAAGCGACCAAGACAAGCAAGTTGTTATCAGGAGATGGCTCCGACACAGCGGGCCCAATCCAGACACACGCCGGCTAGGCCTGGAACGGAACAAGAATCCATTCTGCCGTATACTGGGGACGCATCCTCGGCGTAAGGCTTGACCAGCCGGCTGGTCATGGTGTTTGCTGTCTTGAAGTTTCACACAATCCGTTCAGCATTCTTCGTCCCCAGACCATCAACCGCTGGGCATACATACTGCCACGGCCTTCGCTAGCCTTTCGAAAGGACGACTTTATTGCTCCTCTGTTGTGTGAATTCTCTCTCCCCCAACCCTCCCTGTCACTTGACCTCACACAACAGTCGGGGCAGCCATGAGCCCTTGAGGACTAGGGGCTGCCTCAAGTCGGCCGGGAGGCTCACATAGTGGCCTCACGATTGTTGGTCCGATGGGTTTTCTTGTCTAGCCGCCTCCTTTGGGGGGTATCTGGATACCATCCAGATTGCGGGTACCCGGAATCGTGCGAGGGGTTGTGCAAAAAAAGGGGGGGGGGAAAGAGGAGGGCCTCGAAAGGCAACACCGGGAATTGAGCCCGATGCGGGGGTCGAACCCGCAACCTTGAGATTAAGAGTCTCACGCTCTACCGATTGAGCTAACCGGGCAGAATATCTGTTGGGGTACGGAGCGCCCGGTGGAACTATGAGGGAGTGAGTGGTCATGTCGGCGCCGAGTCTGTGTGCCTTGTCTGCATACTTCAGACGGACCACCTGTTTAGCCGAACCCAAGCCCCCGAGCCCCCCCTGCACGGCCGGCCGCTTCCGGCTACTATTGATACCGGCAGGCAGTTGGCGGGCAAGCCTTCAAGCACTTCTGGCTCGCTCGTCTTGTCACTCTCACCCCAGAGCCCTCTCAGATCGACATATATACCGTCACGAGGCCAACAAGTCGGGTACGGAGATCTGGAATTTGGCCCCACAGCTCACCCGGAATGCGAGAGAGCCAAAGTCCCGCCAGAGGCCATGGCAGCGGACTTTCCCTATCCTACTTCTCAGGTCGACCTCCCGTTCTGCCGGGGTTGACATGAGCTCCAGGGGGGCTTCCAAACCCGCCCAACACCCACAACAAAAGGTCGCTTAGGCTGCACATCATCACCTTCAAAAGGGTTTCTGATCTGTGCCGGCCGCCTGGCTGCCCTCAGCGGTGCTTGGGGCATTGTGAGTTAGTTTTGGGAGGGCCACGATCACGCTCGCAGCAACATCCTGGACACGCACCATCCCGCACACCGAATTATTTCTCTTCCTCAGCACTCTCGGCAGGAAGGCCACTGCCCATGTCGGGGGAACCAAGAAAAAAGGTCCACGGAGTCGGCGGCGGGGGTTCCGCCCTTGTTTTCGGGCGGCTCACGCCTTCTCCACGACACGAGATCCTCCCTCTCCGACTTTCGGCCGGTCAAATCTGCTCCTGGGCGGCCTGGAACTTTTCTTCCGGTTCCAGCCTGGTTAGCAGTGGAGGCCCGAAGGGGCAGCTGACTGTTGTCAAAGAAACGACGTCCTCCCGAAGGGCGCACGCACTCCGACACGTAGCCCACCCGGCCGATGGACTCCCCTGACCACCCACCTATATTGGGGTGCCCCGGGTGCACGCAGCCAGATCCAGCACCCCCGCCGAACCTCTCGTCCTACCCGAGGCAACTCTGGTCAAGCCAGCCTTGTTGTCGCTCGCCCGAGGGTCTCTGTCACTGACATAGGCCTCCTTTATCGCCGAAACAGGTGGTTCAAGGCTGCTCACTGAGGTAAGGCCTGTCCCTCGTCCACCTGATACCCCCGTGTCAACGACCAAGCAATGGCTCCATGTTTGAACGACTCCTTCCGATGCCGTTGCCTCCCATATAGTGGAAATCTATCAATGTACACGCCCTCGATAAACAAGCTCGAAGCTCGTTCGTCCTTTTTGTGCGCCAAATGAAATTGGAAAAACAGAGACCACTCCACGCACGCCATAAGTTTCTTTGGCGCTAACCAGACACCTGCGCCTCAAATAGCAGATGGATTCGCTTCGAAAGATCAAGTAGAACACAAGCTGACCGACATATGGAATTAGAAAAAAGACAGATAAGAAACCCCGATATCGCTCGCCTGCGTCAACGACTGTTGTTCCAAACCCAAGCCAACGATTGCAACTAAATACCGATTCAACCATCCAAAAGGCGCAAACATCATCAACCGTGAGATACCATAAGAAAAGACGAGAGAGCCTTGACCGCTTTCACCATCGCCATCATCAATCATCACACAGCTCGTCATATGCTGAAAGTCACGGTAACAACCCGCGGCTGCGATGAATTGGAAGGGGTACTCGCGTCCCTGGCGGGCGATTCTCGCAGCTGAACCACCACCACGTCCTTGCCGCCATCAACGCCGATCGAGATGGAAGTTTCCGACATGCCGCTATTCCGCCTGGCAAGGCCGTCTGTACCGCTGTTGACCAGGATGAGCGGGAACTCCTCACCGGTTGCTGATTCAGGCGGTATCGCAGTAAGGACCTCGTCCTCTGCGTCGGAAACGGGATCATCAGACTCGGCAGGAAGGAGGACGCTCTCGGGAAGCGGTATCTCCAGAGGCGGGAGCGAAGCCTGCCCGTCCTCCCTCGGCTCCGGAAAAGCAACTCCCGAGCTACCCTCGCCGGCTGGGGCACCCTGCGAGACTGAGAGCTCGGCCATGTCGGTGCTGGCAGGTGACAGTGCAGGCGGCGCGTCCGGCAGCTCACGAGGCGGTGATGGGCGAACCTCGGGCATTTCCCGAGTGGGCCACTGGGGCTCCTCAGGGGTATAAAGGTTCGGCGCGGCCGACTGCAGCTGGTCCTGCCTCGCAGCGTCCTGGTAAAATGCCTCGGGGAAGTCGCCCGTCGGCGGCGGGGTGAGAGTGCCGGCAGAAGTCACACCCCCAACGACTGGGGGGATTCTGGTCGGCGATGAGGACACGCTCGTCGAGATGGTCAGGAGCGGTCGGGCCGAGTTGAGGATCGGACTGTCGGCTCGGGGCGATCCTTCAGTGGACCCCTTGGGAGGCATAGATTCTTCAGGGTCCTTGAGAGTGGATGTCTTGTTTGTGGGGACATGCACGGCCGCGGAAGGTGTCCCGGCATCGCCAAGGCTGCGTTCCCCCTCCACTAGGGGCTCGCCGGCAGGCGTGGGAGGTACTGAGCGCGATTCGTCCGCGTTGATGTCCTCGTCCATAACCTCTTGCTCCTCCCCCGCGCTCGCTCTGCCAGGGCGGCTGACGAGCTTGGCGAACGGCCCGTCATCGGTGTCGACAACAAGCAGCTTCTTGACGCCGCGTCCAAGCACCCCATACACCTTGACCTCGCCGTCCTGGATTCCCATCACGGCCGAAGTCCCGGCGTACAGGGCGTCGTCCTCGATGCCACAGCGGTTGGCGAAGATGAGGATGATTTCGTCTTCGCGCTCGGCGCGGATCAGGGGTTCCATGCGCTGAGCCCAGTACTCGAGCGTGGCCATATCAGGCTCGTACGGCCTGCTGCAGTAGGTCTCGCGACTGTCGAGGGTGCTCCAGGCCATCGAGATGACGACCACGTTGGCGTTGGAGTCGAGCACGTGGAAGGCGAACTCGAACTTGTGCCAAGGCGCCTGGAACTTGTACGGGTTGATATCCATGCAGATGCCTATCGCCGTCTGGCCCAAGCCCTCGATCTCGCCCTCGAAGAAGCCGCCGGTCCCTTCGAGGGACCAGGGCTCATCCGTATAGTACAAGTGCTGTTTGCGGTAGTTGGCTACCGTCTCGCCGTCCTCGTTGACCACCAGGAGCGAGTTGTAATACTCGGGCGAGCTGGACGGGGCCTCGACCATTTCGGGATAGCCGACTGCCACTTTGCAGTCCAGCTTGAGGGCCGTAGTGCGGGCCCAGAGCGCGCTGATGCCCGAGCCGGCAACTTCAAGGAATGGAGTGATCTCCGACTGCGACTTGAAGTTGTAGCCTGGGGGTATCCAGCCCGTGTCAGCAACGCCTAGTGGGGACCTCTGGAAGTCCAGACGGGAAGGCCTTACCAGTGAAGGCCATCTCAGGCAGCACAAGGATATCCAGGTCCTCGAGATCACGCGGGTCCGCCCGGTTGAGGACGGCATCGGCACGGTTCAAGTTGTTGTCGAGGTCGCCAACATGGGGGGCGAACTGGAGGCAGCCGATTCTCATCTTGGCGGTGAGTCTTTGGCAAGGGGGCCAAAGATGGGAGGTGTTGGTGTTGAGGGTGGTGGATGAGATAACAAAGCCGACAAGTGTCGCTTGCCTGTGATCCGGTGCTGGTGTGTCTCTGTCGAAGAGGCTTCGCAGCTTGCCGAGCTGAGGTGAGTCTGTTCCCAAGGTCGGGGCTCGGCCTCGTTCAAATATCAGAACCTGAGACGTAGTCGCGATGGGCAGTCCTGAGGACTTGTCTGGCCAAGATGGTTGCAGATGTTCTCGAAGCACACCCGACTGCTAAAATTATCAACAAACAGTATGCGCCGACATCTCGAAGAGACCGTGTGGCACAGACTAGGACAGAGCAGGCAGAGAACAGGGCGATGGTTCGTGGGGTGTTTGCCGGTGTTGCTATCTTGAGATTTAGAGTTGCGCACCCCACGAGAGAGCGCGCAGGACAGATGCGAAACCAGACAAGGGCCCAAGACGGCGGGCTGGGGGCGATAGTTCCAACGGGAGGGATCTAGTCGGGGCAAGACGATCCTGTGTGGATTTCTGCGCTGGTCAAGCCACGGAGCTCAGCGGCAATGCAGGTAGGTTGTAGTGGTGGTGGTTGTTGAGGTGGAGGAGTGTGGTGATGGTGGTGGCGTTGGGAGTGGGAGGGAGAAGGGGGTGGGAAAGGAGGGGATGATGAGGGAGAGCGACGGTGTGCAGCGCGCGCGTCAAGTGTGCAGTGCCTTGTGCAGCCAAATGCAGAGCGCTGGAGGCAGCGTGCAGCGTGCAGTCCAAAAGTGGACACGAAACGTGGGCGGCGTGGACAGCAGCAGCGCCTTCCCGCCCGTGCTCTTGTCAAAAAGCTAAACATGGAAAATGGGTCCATTCGTTTGTCTGGTCCCTCGAAAAGTGGGGCCGCACGCTCACGACACTGTCCCCGCCTGGCTGCGTTTGGGCGTCTGAGCCGTTAGAATGGGCGTTCCCGTGCTCGAGATGCCCAGCAGGGGTTGTGTGGCGCCTAAGGCCTTGCCCCATTGGGAAACAGCACTCACTGGCTTACACACGAGGTACCGATCAAGCAGAGACACCTCGGGGTAGCCAAGGGACCTCGAGCAGACGCTGTATCATGGCAACAATTCACCTAGATTGACAGTCCAGTTTCCAGAACCCTCATCTTGTCGGGATCGAGGCATTCCCTCTTTCCATCATCTTGGACACCGTCACAAGAGCCTTGCCTCCAAGTGCCGCCTCCTTCCCGCCAGACCCAAATGACACTCCGCCATTACCGACAGCAAGGAAATCTACCCCTCTCCCCCTCCCGTCGGCATGGTGATGTGATGCTTGGGCAGCCATCTCCGCCGCGGGAGAGCTGCAGCGGCAGAATGGGGAAAACACCGGCCCGGGACAGCCAACCATGGCCCAGGTTTAGGCGCTTGGCCCCGCACAAAATATCCCCGGATGGCAGCATTGGCGTGCCCACTGGTTTTTTTTCTTTCGTGTGCGCGTGGGATGGCGCATGATTGGCCGTCCCTGGCTCCCCCGGCGTGAACGTCATCTTGCTAGTTTTCCAGCCCCCGCCCATTATTCTTCGTTTGAGTGCTAGCGTCTGCTGCAATATGTCTTTTGTGTAAGCTGACTCGCTGAGGAGTGGAGGTACGGCCATTTCCCAGCCAGGATCATATCTACGAGGACTGGGAAGCTATAGTGATCCGATGGAGCAAGGACCTCGCTTCACAATAACAACTGACCTGTCTACCTAGGTATGCAGATACTGTAACCCAAAGCCGCTGGCAAAGGCTACTCCTAACCGGGAGATCTCCCCACGCCTTCCAAAAGGTTGTCTATCTCGCTCGTCGGGGCGGACAGTCGCCATTCGGTGCTGCGATATGATGCAAGTCCAAGTATGACATATCGTGGCCGTGCTTAAGTTTACCAGGAAGGCTCAAGTCACACAGCTCACTAGTTCTAAGCACGCTCTCTTCTCGCCTTCTAGATTTGGCCTCTAGACAAGGTAGGTTGGCATTTCGGTCTGCAAGTACAGCGGTTGGAGTATCTAATTTTAAGAAATCAGGCGAACACACCTTGTTCAAACTGCCGCCAACCTTGGACACCTGGATGGTGTGTGTGAGGAGGAGGATGGGTATGCAACCTCTTCAACTGGAGTTCACATCGCAGACCCAGGCAACATCCAACATCCACAGTAGGTCCATCCAAGTCTGCAGCCGGCAAGGCGCACAAACGCGGCACGGCCCAGTTCGAAGCCCGTGATAACGCCCTAGCGCGGCATGAGTCGCCACCTGCAAGCTGCGTGGTGACACATGCCCGCATAGCCGCGGTCCGTATTGAGAGGCGGCAGAGCAGCGAGGATGGATGGGTGGTATCCAGGCAGACGAAAACCCACACGCCCCCTCCTCCCTTCTCCTCCTCGAGCGCGCTTATCAGGTGGCGGTGATGGCTGCAGAAAGGTTTGCCGCGACATGCGGGTGTGGCCACCTTAGGGGCACCGGCGTGCCTGGGATCATCATGTGCTTGTGTCGTGGTCTATCTGGACTTGGCCTTTCAGAGCTTCCCCGCCTAGGTGAAGCCATCCAGCCCCCACACCCTTCTCGGCCTGGCACGGCTCTCTACTGGATCGGCACACCCTCGCCACGTACACGTCTTGCTGCCAACAGCCGCAGCCCGCATGCTCGCAGCTGCATAGGTAGGCACCTCTAGGGGACGCAGCGGAAGCCGAGCTCTCATGTGCCCTAGCTATGTGTTTTTTGGTTGGCTTAAGCAGGCGCGCGGTGCCGCAAAGGTGCACCCGCACACCACCTTCCCTTCTAAGGGCGACTTGGTGGTTGGCTTTAAGGTCGCCGGCACGTATCCTGGTGAATACCCAGATATTGCCAGAGAGAAGTTGTGATGTAAGCGTTTTTGTGCTGTCCGAGTAGAATCCTATCTAGTATCTCAAGATATCGGCAGAAATGAGGGGGCTCGAGGATCAAGAAAGCGACCCCCGCCAGGCGCGGCAGTAGCGGGGCGATTGCCTGATGCGAGAAGCGGGAAGAGCCCTCTCCCGGGCTGGGATTGACAGATTTTGACCTGCAGAACAATGCCGCCATGCGCGCTTGATGCCTGTTTTGGATAGATTCGGATGTGGCTGCAGGAGGTACTTACTAGGGAGGCAGATCTCTAGTGGGGAAGGGGTATGTTCTTACTTGGGCCAAGTCCGGACTGCTGTGCCGTGCAAGTGGCGGTCCCTCCTACACCCACTTGCACCACCACCAAAGCCACTTTGGCCTCAAAGATGCCCAAAGGAGGGTAGGTAAAATGACTTAGGAAGGGTGGCCGCGATAAACATCGCTGGCTGCGCGATTCGATCTGTTCGGGTCCCAGATTCGAAAATAGATCAGGCCGATCTGTGGCGAGGACTTGAGCACCTCGCCTTGCAAGCATCAATAATGTTTCCAACAGACAGAAATCTAACCGCCGACAGTTTCTTTCTAAACATGGAACAGATTTGTTGGGTTTTGGTGTCACCTATTGCACCCCGCAGGCTGCGTTCTGAGGAGGGACTGATGCGCTGATGATGAAGCCGTGACCAGGCGGCTGTTTGAGATGGAGAGAGTCTCAAAGGTAAATCCAACGTCCATCAAAGGGTTTTGTCATTGCTGACTTAACAGAAAAGCGAGCCGCCAACGGACACCATCAACAACCAGGCCGATACAGCCAGCGCCGCAACTTTTCTCGTCCCATCTGATCTTCACCACCCTTTCTTGGTTGTAGATTTCAATCACATCATGGCTCCTCATCCTATACATTATGCTGGAACGGGCGTGCGGGTGATCTGCTCTCTGTATAGCCCTACTTAGGCTCCCTCAGATAGATACTCCTACTCTCCTTGCGCACAATACTAGAACCCCCAAAGGTCACAACCATCGTTGTTCGCCACAGTTGAAAATCCATATTACCCAATACGCAAGCACACCCCCATAACACGTAGCCCCCTCTGCTTCCGCACAACTAAGTCAAGCCTACCCAACCCTCCGCCCCCCTCCCTTCCGCTCAGTACACCTCCGACACCCCGGAGGCCTCCTCCTCGATCCTGACGCGCGAGTTCACGTTGTCCCAGCCGAGGAAGGCCCTCCTGCGCTGGCCCACATCCTTGAGCGTCATGATACCGCCGTCCGTGTCGGCCTTGTAGCCCCACGACACGTTGATTCCCGTCCTGTTCTCGCAGGGCACGTCGGCGAAGTTGTCAAACTTGATGTCCACCGTCGTCGGGTTGTTGCCCACGGCTTCGAGCTTGCAGCGGATCACCTCATCGCACCGGACCATGTTGAACCGGAAGAGCACCGTCTGCACCACCGGGCGGGCGTCTGCATTGTGGGGAGGAGGGGGTTGGGTTAGTGTCACAACAGCACGCCACGCCGGGGAAGTGGAATAGGGGGCGCATGAGGGGGATTGTCAGAAGAGATAAGTGACCCGAGCCGACTCACTTCGTGAAAGATTCCTCACAACCCACACGTTCGGGTCACAAGCCTCCACCTCGACATGTCCACCCCCAGCATACAGTCTCCTTCCGGCTATGGACGCAGCCCGACGGCTGCCGCCCCCGCCGCCGCCGCCGCCGCCAGAATCAGAGTCGTCGCCCTCGCCGTGGTGCGGCCGGTTCATGTCAGCGTCCTCGTCCGAGGGGCGCGTCTTGGCGCCGAGCTCGTACGAGGGCTCGGTCCTGGTCGGCGCCCTCCTGAGGCCCTCGAGGTCGCGGTCGCGGTAGGCGAAGCTGGCGTAGACGCCGCCCGTGACGTTGACGACGCTGAAGACGGTGAAGCCGCTGCGGTGCCAGAGGCTGTGGACGCGGTAGACGCCGGCGACGCCGCCCTCGCGGCAGGGCACGTCGTAAAAGGTGTTGTTGATCCCCTGCTCGTCGAGGCTGTGCGCCGTGACGGTGCACCACGTCATGGGCAACGCCGGCTCGGCCGACTCGTCGATCATGAACTGGTACGTGCACAGCGGGCCCGACTGGTTGACAGGGACGTGGTCCTCGCACACCTTGTTCAGCCCGGCCATCGTCCAGGCGCCGACGATCTTTTCCGCCGCCGCCGAGAGGCCGAGGGCCAGGACCAGGCCGAGGAGGAGGATGAGACGCATGGCGAGACTCGGTGTCGGCCAATCAGAGAAGATATCTCAAGCGCTGTCGTGAGTGAGAGGGTTTGAAGCGATGGGGATGGCTTCAGTTTGTCCATCGGCCGGGTTAATTCTCGTAAACTCGTCGGTATGCGGTTTTCCTCGATCTGGGTCCTTTATATCACCCGCCGCCGTCGCCTGGCCATAGCTCATTCCTTTGCCCCACCCTCTTGTCCATTTTCCCATACTCGACCATGGTCGCATCACCAGACCAAAACTCGTCTCGACTCGTGTCCAAGCCTTTGTGGCCAGCAAGCGGCTCTGGCATACCATCTCTGTCCCACATATGCCGGACGCAGGCGCCCGTCACGCATGTCACAATTAGGCCGCATGTTTCACCCGAGATGGGCGGTGGTCGTCGCTGGTTGAGTGGGCTGTGCTACTCAAGGACATCAATCAGCATACTTGCTTCAAATGCGTGTTTACGAGGGAATCACACGCCAAGAAACCTGGCATGTTTGTTCTCCTTGCTTCAAAAACGGCACACACACTCTACGGGAGTAACCTCTCTTAACTCGATCTGCCCGAGCCTGTATCCGCGTGCTGCCCTGCTTGGTTCGTAAGGAGTGGTTGGACGTCTGGTGCCGGGTCGGGCTTCCTTTTGGGCGAGCAAGGACATGGTTTTGTGGCATTTAAAACGTTGATCTTCTCGACCGGGAATGCTTCGGGCCAATGTTTGGTCTTGATTCTCTGGTTGCACCACGGGCTGGCGCTAGCCATATTGAGGAAGCAGAGGCGACATCCATCGAGAGATCGTATATCTGCCGCTTGAGAAACCACCAAGGTCGCCTGCCCGCAAGAAGTGGTTAGACTGGGGTTCAATGCTTGCCATTTCGAGATGTGCTCACCCGCTATGGAGACCAGATAAGCATGCTGGAGTGACAGCAGACCGATGGAAAAAAGGAAAAGTAGCTCAAAAGGGCGACCTAATGGAGACTCAGCATAAATTTTCCCTGCTTCGGCAAGTCAAAGATGCTGCTGGATGCATCTGACCCTAACCAGACAATCTAGCCTTAAGCAAAGATACTACTTAGTAGTCTTCTGCGAACGAAAAAAGACGAGAGCGTTGGGACCAGCCATCATAGTTACCGTGGCCGACCTGGCCGGGTACTCGAGATGTTCATGGTAGCAATGATACGAGTGAGACTGTGGGTGGCCACATGGACTAGACACTTGGACGCACACTTTCCTGTCCGATTGCTCAGTGGCAACCCGAGAGCAAGAAAAACAACGAGCCCACCGTTGTCACCAGCGAAGGTGCCACAGGTATGAAGCCCGAGGTTGCACGTCCACTTGCTTTCTATCCGCGCTTTGGCCCCGAATGGTCTCGCCATGATGATGACCTGCCGGAGAGAACGAGGCAGGTGTTTTGTCCAAAGGGGTTTCTACCTCCGTAGCACTCGGGGGTATCAGGCCACACTTGGTAACCTGCACCACCGCCGTGATCGGCGATCACGTTGCGTCTGTGCAAGACCCATGTGCTCGCGTGATTTTACTGAGCCTAGCCCAGCCCTTGGGGAAGGTTCCGGATGCCAGATGAACAGGAGAACGCCACGACGCTTCCCTCTGCCATCTCCATTTGTAAAAGTCTCTTATGGACTTGGATGATGTATTGACTTCGCTGATGCCAGGCTAGGCAGCCACGTCATTGGCTCGAGAATCCATATCACATAGGTGCTTGCCTGGGCGCTATGAAAGGGAAGAGAGGGGGAGGTGGCACCCACACCCGGCATATCAAATTACAGCCCCCTGCAGGCGTTCGGGCTGCCGTGCGGGCTACCATGGCCAATGCCATACCGCTTAGACAGGGTAGGATCCGGAGTACCCGGCCCATTTGCGAGTCAACGGGTGGGAGAAAGTGCCAGGAAACTGCGGCCAAGCCGGGAGAAGTAAAGTGCCATCAGCACGGCTTGGCTAGTCGGCGGTAACCAAGGGTGCGAGCAGGCGGCCAATGGGTCGACAGGAGGCAAGGGCGACGCAAGCCAGTCGATGGCCTTGGAGGATATGCCGGGGGGCTTGTTTTTTGCCATCCCAGGGAAGTCCTGTGTATGTTGGTGCGACTCGGAAAGCGAAGGACTGGGTCAGGCCGGCAATCGATGGCCTCGGCGGGTGCGTCTGTTGGTAGGACGTTGTCCAGCAAAGTGGGGACGATCGGGGGATAGGCCGGGCCGGCGACACGTGTGATATGGGAAGACAGAGAGAGAGTCGAGGACGGCGACCATCTGACACTATCCACGGATGTAAGAGCGTACAGGCAGTGGGTGAGTCGTGAAAGAACGAGGCGGCATCAGTCGCAAAACCTTCAGAAGCAAGTTTGGGGGCGGAAGCACGGGTTGCCTTGGGTTTTAAGCCTAGACGGCGCCTTGTCGCCCATGGATACCAGGAATTCGATGGACATGGCAGGCTACATACCCAGAACGAGCAAGGAAAGTATTGCTACTGCAATTTTGCTACTGTGTCTGTTGTGTCTGCCGTGGCTGTCTTGGTACCTCGATACTTGATGCCGCCATACCCCACTGACACCGACCGCCATGTCACCCTCACAGCGATGTATATTGGAGTATGTAGAGTAAAAAATTGCTACCAAAAATAGAGCCATGTCGGGTGCAAGAATTCGCTCACTGAGGGCCAACGGTCAGCGAAGCGGGTGGCTGGGATCCACCAGGGATCCACCAGGCGGCACCTCATTGGCGTGCGATTCTATCTTTGGCACGACAGGAGGGCCAGTTCGTCATCCTAATCTCCGCCGCGGGGAGACGGACGCGCCAAGGGCTTGCTGGCTGCCCAAAGAGGGAAGGCGCGCTGCCGTCACATGGATCCATTACTAACAGCAAGAGCGGACTGCCGGTGCCGTTGTATCGGGTGCTCGATTCGCACTCGTCGCCGTCGATTGCGGAAGCGCGACAACGGGCCCGGATGTCGCTACTCCCGAGTCGGGGTAGGTAAGACACGATGCAAGAATGGCAGCATCTTGGAGGGCTTCATTGGGGGCTGTTTGTGCCGATGCTGGCTTTACAGCCCTCGTCTGTCTGAACAGAAGCCACAGACCTAGAGCCAGGTGGGTACTTCAATAAGGTATTAACCAACTCACAAGGCAACAGCCAACAAGTCCAGCCTTGCTTGATCCTTCGGGACACCAGCTGATGTGAAAGCGCCAATAACCTCAGGTGCCTGCACTGGACTTGTGAATAGTACCGCGCGCCTGTCAGAGGAGGCTCTATCCGGCAAGCGCACGGCTGCGTGGCTGTCGGGCACTGGCCTCGGATCGGGCTGGCTGGCGGTGAGTTGGGTCGCGTGGGCCACTATTGGGGGGGCGCCAGCGGAAGCTCAACCGCCCTGACGCTTCCAAATCCCAGCAAGCGGTCGCGTTGTAGGCCGGCGCTTGTGGGACCCCAAGCCTGGTGGGCGGCCCAAAACCCCGGCCGTGTCTTTCCCAATAGAGCCTCCCCTGCGAAGATCACCTTCCCGTCGGGCCAGTCACAGGCCACCATGCCCTGGTCGCAGCTGCCAGAGTGGCCTGACCTACGCGCCGGCTTCCAATGTCGCGCTGGAAATCCCTTCCCCCCACCTATGCCCGCACAGGCCTGCGGCGACTCGCAGCGTGCAGGCACGACGGGCAGCGACTAGCGGGGTGGAGGGGAAAGAAGAGATTTTTTGTTTGCCCTGCAACCCGGGCGGGCTGGTGGTTGGCCTGGCCGTCAACCCGCTTCCCGCGCCCGCCAAAAGCCCGAATTTCACCACCCACCATCCACCAGGCGTTGCCCGATCCCCTCGTTGGTGGACAGCGAACAGTGGACACTGGACTGGTGGACTCGCTCACAGTCTGCCTGGGTCTTCGTCTCCCCTCATTGGCTCCCGCTCGCCAACCCCTGGCCACTCACTCTGGATCGATGACCTCCCGTGCTATTATCGGGGCAGCGGGATGCGATGTCGCCCTTCTCGACCGGGGGGGTCGGTCGCGTGGCCGGGGAACATCGCGCTGCGAGTCGAGGCTTGCAGGATTCCACGAACTAGCCAGTGCTTGCGTCTTTCCCTCTCGGGCCTAGTTCCGCCTTGCCTCCCCCTCTGGCCGCCGCCCTTCCTCGCCCCAGCGGCTTGGGAGAGGGGAGGGTGTGGCAGCCAGGGGTGGGAGCGGCTGCACGTCCGCTATCGCCGCTCGGGTTGGATCTTGGGTGCCATTGGCGAGGCGGAGGTTGTGCAGCGACGCTAAATTGCCCGAAAATACATGCGTGTGCCGCCACGGCGCCACGGCAGCGCACCACAGGGCGCTTGCCCTCGGCCGGCTTACATACATACCAAGACCCATCCATCCATTAAGACCTACATGTCTACATACATACTCACATCCCTCCGCTCACGCATGCAACCTGTTCTGGGTCCATTGCCGTCTTGACCGTCCCCTGATCCTGATCTTACCCACCACCACCAAGCCGGGAGGTGAGGACGACGAGACCAGGCAAAGTTCACGGTAGACAGACGCCCAGAACCAACTTGGATCATCGTGGACCAGGGAGGCAGACGTTGCGCCATGGGAGATCCGTGAAAGCCAAGCTCGCTTCCCCCTCCCCCACCTACCACTCTTCTCGACTCGCAATATCATCCTTCGACTTCAGCCCGCCCGCCGGCTCTTTGCTTCTCCAGTCAATCAACCATGATCCCTTCAATACGAAGGATTCTGGCCGTGGCAGCCGCGCTGCTTTCGGTCTCGACGGCGCTGCAGGTGGCGCCGGGATCCCCATGCGCCTCGGCCTGCCTCGACCGCGCCGACGCCGACGCCTTCGACCCGAACGCTTCCTCGACGACCGTCTCCGACATTGTCTGCGATGACCAGGACTTCACCTCGACCGTAAAGGGGCTCAAGTTCAAGGAGTGCACCGAGTGCCTGCAGTCAAGTAGGCATGTCAGCGGCTCCGAGGCAGACCTCTATTGGTACTTGTGTAAGAATGCCAGCCTACCATTCGATACTTTTAGGGTTGAGCGTGCTCCTAGTCGAGCCCATGCCGCCCTCGTGGCTAGCTAGCTTTTGATACTAATCCCTAAACAGACAACCTGCGCTACGCCGCCAACGTGTGCATTTTCAACTACCCAGCAGCAGTCCAGAACAAGTCATTTGCTTGTCAGATTCCTCAAAACTGCGGTGCTCTCTCAGGTGCACTCAGGGTAGGAGATCTTGCTCCCGACAACGGCACACAGCTCGCCTACTGCAACGCCGATGGCAAGAAGATGTCGGCCGGCTGGGCCAGGACGGGCTGCCACCAGTGCCTGGCGACGGTGCCCGACATGTGGTTCTTGTCCAACTGTAGGCCTCCTTAATTTCATTCTTGTCAACTAATAATGAAAACCGCGCGAAACTAACAAAGATACAACACAGTCATGGTCGCTCTCGACGCAGCCTGCCAGCAGAACCTCAAAGCTGGTGACCTGATCGGCCTTTCAGCTAGTCTCTTCAACCGCTTTGCCGTCAACGCAACCGACCCTCCCCAACTTGAGACTGGGCCACCGCCGCCCTCGGGTACGAGTATGAGCATGGGTACCATTATTGGCATCGCCATAGGCGCGGCCCTTCTCCTCCTCGGAGGCGTCGCTCTCTTTGTTGTCTACTGGCGCAAGCAGCGCCGCATCAAGGCCGAGGACGCCCGCCGCGCTGGCAACAACGACACCCCCAACGGGGGTGGCTCTGTCGCTGCTCTGGCAGTCAACGGTGGCGGCCTCGGCAGCGGTGGCGGCGGCTTCCTCGGGGCGGACCTGGCCGCTCATGGAAGCAGCATCCGCGGGGGGTACACCATGGATCACAAGAGAGAGTACAGCCTGACGTCGCTCAACCCCTACGACCCCAACGGCGGCGACAGCGGACGGTACACCAGCAACAGCGACTATTACGACCAGTACGAGAAGCAGCAGCAGGTCGCACAAAAGTTTGGCGTATACCCTGCTGGAGGCGCTCTGCCCGCCCACCCAGCCTACATCCCACGCTCCGCCATCACGAGCATCCAGTCGCAGCGTCCTAATAGCACCGACTCTAGGGGCTCGCGCAACACATCAACCTCACAGCAACAACAGCAACAACAACACCCCTCACCTCTACAGCAGCAGCTCCAGCTCCAGCACCAGCACCCAAGCCGCGCAGCAGCCGCCGCCGCCGCTGTCCAGCCACGCAGCACGCCACCACGTGGCACCCCCGAGCCAATAGTCCTGGCGGCCCCGCCGCCGGGCAAGCCTCGCTCCACAAAAAGTTCCAGCTCGACGACAACCCCGGCAGTCCCGGTATCAGGACCGACGCCAGGCGAGGCGTATGCCCTGCGGCAGTACCTGGCCGGATCCGACGACAGGCTAGCCGCTGGTCTGAATCTGCCACCACCACCCGCGGGACCACCACCGAGGGCGTCGACATCATCCGCCTCCTTGTCACACCGGGAACAGCGCACCATCGACCCCAACAACATGCCGCCGCCGCCGCCGCCCCAGGCCAAGATCCCGTCCCTCGTCCTGCCCTCGGTGCCAAGGATCCGCGTGCCAAAGAAGTACTCGCCGCCCCAGATCAGCCTGCAGGAGGCGACGCCCGTCGACGATGAGCCGAGCGTTATCACCGGCCCGCTTGACCATAATTTTCAGCACCGCCGCCAGATGCGTCAGCAGCAAGGTGTGCCGGAGCCACAGTCCCAGTCTCCCCCTCCGCGCACCACCCGCTCTTCGCCGCGGGCAGGATATGAGCCCAACTACTAGAAGTCGAGGGAAAGAGGAAAGAATAGGACACGATATAAAGTACCAAACGGGGGATGGCACAGCGACGCCATGAAAGAACGGAAGAAAAAGTAAAAAAAAAGTGAGGGAACGAACTGGGAGGGGTTTGCTTTTCGGGGTATTATCTCCCCCATGATTTTCATCTTAGTGTATTGTTTCATACCCCTTTTACTACGGTAAAACCTGGCGTTTGGGAGGCTACGACGACTTTGGCGGTGAACATTTGGCGCCACAAGGCACATGGGGCATGGGCGACGTGTAGCAGGAAGCTTCGTCTGGCCCCAACACCTAGGCTGTTGCATTTTAATGAAATGGATGAGCACAGGACGTGCCGATGAGTTTGGTTTCTTGAGGTCGCCTATGTGCATGCCGAGAGTCTTGGTCGCGCGTGCTGTCGGCGTGTGAAATGCGCTGTGGTGGTCCCAATCCAATGGACAATAAGCATTGATGCCTTGCTTGCACTCTACGTACCACGGGTACGAACTCGTGAGGGCCAGGGGCTGTTTGTCTCCAGGCGAACGGATGGTGCCAAAATGCCCTCTGTGCTCGCTTCTTCACTATACCTTAGCCCAAGACCAACGTAGGCAGGCAGAAATCCTTGGCAACATGTGTGGTGCCCACGAATGCGCATGTGAACTGGGGTTTGTATATGAACTGTGATCGTCTCGTCCGAAAAAAAAAAGTTCTTACGGAGTATTGGCGGTGGGACTCAAGCTCATGAATTCTCATTGCTCGCTCTGTCTAGCAAGCAATCAAGGCTGTGGATAAGGCCAACAGTAATGCATGATTCTAGGACCAAGAACCAACAGACATTAAAGATCGGACTCAGCCCAGCCGGTGGCCAGCTCCCCGAGTTTTCCACGAGTCGGGAAGAGGGCCACTGCCAGCAGAGGACCCGGTCGTCCTCCCAGACCCTCCTCCGAACTGCGCCGTGCCGTACGACCTCCGCTCAACTTGCGCCGTCTGAATCAAACGCGACATGAATGCCGGAGTGGACAGGATGTTCCTGCCGCCGCCAAACTCAGGCCAGATGCGGAACAGGAAGTCGTGAAGGTGGGCCGCGACAAGACCGCACATCTGAATGAAGAGCTGATCGGGCCCAGCCATGACCAGCGTCGCGAACAGCATGGCATAGGGCACCAGCTGCGCAGGGATGGACAGGAAGAAGAAACTGGCCTGCTGACCCCGCTGGTCTTGGGTGCCTGTGTATGCCAAGGCAAGAACGAGGCCCTGGAGACAAAATGGCGCATGGGTGCCAGACAGGTAGTTGAGCCCCTGAGCAGGTGAGGAAAGAGTTTCAGTTAGCGAAACTGTTATCCGAGCCCAATAGCCAGGTAGAAAAATAGACAAGGTTGAAGATATGTAGGGAGCTTAAAAACCACCTGAGCGAGGTAGAGTATATCTCGGCCCAAGCCATCCATAAAGACATCCCACCATGCCTACACCACGACCGACCCTAAAGAGGTATGCGAATGACGGGTCGGCCGAGATGCAGGGGTGATCTTCCTCATTTCCAGGAACCGTGATAGCAGTAGAGGCAATGCACTATCCGGGCAGATATATGAGGTGTATGTTGGGGAGAGCAAAAACAAATCATGGTCAAGGCAAGCATCATAAACCACCGAAAGTGTGCGGACAAAACCTACCATGATCATGACAGACACGGTCGTCAGGTACCAGACGACATCCTCCTTCCTCGAGAACTTGGGATTGGAGGTCTCAAGTTGCTTGACGTAGGAGAACAGAAAGTACGGATCGAGGACGATGCCCAGCTGCGGACCGCTGAGCAAAAAGTTGGTAGCGAGGCGCCAGATCTGAGGAGGGATCATTACGAGGTGGTACGGGTCGAAGTAGATCCATCCACCGGGGATGACGCCGAGGAGTCTGACCCCGACCGAGGTCACGAAGACGGCCGCGGCTAACGTCCTGGGTGGAGCGAAGAGCAAGTTAGCAACGGAGGACGAGGACGGGCGTGTTGCCGGCAGTATGTGTGGTCAAACGTACCGAGCAATAGGCGGCGCGGCCCAGAAGTTGTCCATCAGACCCGACATGCTAACGTCTCTCGTCCGGGACGGACCGAAGAAGGGTCGCAAGCGTGGTCGGCAGTACCTGGGGATGGCCTTGAGCTCTGCTTTTTTTTTTTTTTTTGTGTGCTCAGATGCAGCTGCGTTTCCAGCCAGCTACAGAGTCTTGAGGAGTCTTGAGCGTAGGGCTGCTGGCGGACAGGAATCAAGAGAGGGGAGCAAATGAAGAGCAGCAGCGGTAGAATGGTGTCTAGCGCGTGTTTGTTTCAGGCAGCTGGTGTTGAGGAAGAGAGCGCGGGACGGTCACAGCAGGCGGTGCTGCGGGTGACGTTGACCCGGTCGAATTGAAGCGTGTCATTTTCTCGGTTGGAGAAATGGCAATGAGAGAAAAGGATTTCTTAGAAAGGAGTGGAAGAAATCAAAAACTGGCCACGCCCTTTTCAGGCAGGCTGGAATGGAGCTTGTGTGGGGCCCTGGCAGCCGTCTGGGTGGGGGTAAGGGGTAGGCCAGCTGTCAGTGGATGGGAGTGGGTTTTGGCCAGTTGAGCTCTCAACTCCACTTGTAGTCGCCATTTTCCATATTCGGTCTGCACGTACCTTGGTGCCGCGGCAGGTGAGTGGAAGAGATGGAAAACTGAAAGGGCGCGCCCTCGGCAAGTCTCGCAGTGACTCAATTGGCATTGGGCTCCTGGCTGGTGAGGGGTTCTGTGCTTGTTTGCGGGTGGTGGCCGCCAGGGCGCTCGTCTGGGGCAGGTGTCGACGATGGTGGCCTCGACCCACTATTTTTATCCTTACAGTGACTCGACCCATTGCATTATATCAACTTTATATCCCACCGTGGCATAAGACTGGTCGAGCCAATTCGCATCCATTGTGGCCTGGCTGCCTGTCGCAATTCGATTGCCCATCTCCCTAGATAAAGCCATGACCTCGCAGGCTTCGCGGTCTACGGCAGCGGCCCTGGGCCGGCTGGGCCAGCTCGCCCGACAGGCTGGACAGCGGCGGCAGCAGCAGCAGGTGCGCTTATACTCGGCCGCCTCGGCCGACGCCATCCCGCCCTCCAAGAAGAAGTACGTGCCCTCGAGCGGCACCTACCCGCGGGCCTTCCGGGCGTCGGGCATCGTGGTGGGCGTCAAGCCGGGCAACAAGACCAAGCCCGACCTGGCCCTGCTGGCGTCGGACGTGCCGTGCGCCGCCGCCGCCGTCTTCACCAAGAACCGGTTCCAGGCGGCGCCCGTGACCTTCAGCCGCGACCTGCTGCGGCGCAAGGGTAACGCCGGCGTCGCGGGCGTCATCGTCAACTCGGGCTGCGCCAACGCCGTCACGGGCAAGGGCGGGCTCGAGGACGCGGCCGCCATGGCGCGCGAAGCCGACCGCGCCTTGGGCGGCGATGACGGCACCCTCGTCATGAGCACCGGCGTCATCGGCCAGCGCTTGCCCATCAAGCGCATCCTCGACAAGGTCCCCGCCGCCGCGGGCGCCCTGGGCGCGTCCCACGACCACTGGCTCGCCTGCGCGCGCGCCATCTGCACCACCGACACCTTCCCCAAGCTCGCGTCGCGCACCTTCCACCTGCCCTCGTCGCCCGGCGTCGAGTACCGCATGGCCGGCATGATAAAGGGCGCCGGCATGATCCACCCAAACATGGCCACACTGCTGGGCGTCATCGCCACCGACGCCCCCGTCGCCCCTGCCCTGCTGCCCGCCGCCCTGCGCCACGCCGCCGACCGCTCCTTCAACAGCATCACCATCGACGGCGACACCTCGACCAACGACACGGTCGCCCTGCTCGCCAACGGCGCCGGCGGCGGCCGCGAGGTCGCCGACGAAGCCTCGCCCGACTACGCCCGCTTCCGCGACGTGCTGGCCGCCTTCGCCGCCGACCTAGCCAAGCTCATCGTGCGCGACGGCGAAGGCGCCACCAAGTTCGTCACGGTCCGCGTCGTCGACGCCGCGACCGAGGAGGCCGCCCGCAAGGTCGCCAGCACCATCGCGCGCTCCCCGCTCGTCAAGACGGCCCTGTACGGCAAGGACGCCAACTGGGGCCGCATCCTATGCGCCACGGGCTACGCGCTCGTCTCGGAGCCCGGCGCGCCCGACGCCGCCGCCGCTGCGCCCGAGGCCGACTCCAACATCGCCCCCGACAGGACTAGCGTTTCCTTCGTGCCCACAGACGGCACCGCCGAGCTCAAGCTGCTGGTGAATGGCGAGCCCGAGCAGGTTGATGAGGTCCGCGCCGCAGAGATCCTGCAGCTCGAGGACCTTGAGATCCTTGTCCGGCTGGGCACCGGGTCCGCCGAGGCGACCTACTGGACCTGCGATTTCAGCCACGAATATGTGTAAGTGTCCCTTTTTTTTTCTTGACGTGGCACGTGTGACAGCCGAGCATAGCTAACGTGGATGTTGATTGGTAGGACTATTAACGGTGACTACCGTACATAGTGGCGATTATGCATCTAAGTGACGGCCATGTAAACTGATGTCTTTGCTTTCATATCATGATAGACAGCTGGGGAAAAGGCAACTATTTACAGCATCTAATATAAAAAAGACACTTGGACACGAGGGCTATCCAGATTTATCGTGCGGGCACCAATGCAGGGTATGATGCATGTTTTCACCCAACATAGTGATTACACCAACCTAAAATTTCAAATATGCAAATGATGTCTATCATGCGCTCCATCCGTACTCCTGGCTGTCTAAACGTCGGTAAAAGAAAAGATGGCGCATTCACGAAGGGACTGGAGCAAAGCCAGCAAATCAGGTTTGCCTACCTGGGCACCCGACTCCCTCACCTCGCCCCCTCCGTTTTCCCCCGGCACTATCGCCGCTCACTCCCATCCAGCTCCCAAGACTGGTACTGGTGCCCGCCCACGTACCCGCCCCCGCCGGCGTACGAATCCCCCGGCGCCTCGTGCCGCGCATAATCGCCCGGCGCCTCGTACGGCTTGTGCTGCTGTGGCGGCGACCCGTAGGCGCTGCTGCCGCCCTCGAGCTCCCCCTCCTTCGACGGCGCGCCCGCATATGTTGCGTTTTCGGCAGAAGCGGCGGCGGCGGCCGCGCGCTTTTTCCGGGCGCGGAATATGAACAGCCAGACCAGGACCGACGCGGCGGCCAGGCCGGCGATCGCCCCCGCCGCGATGCCGCCTATTGCCGCGCCCGAGATGCCGGCCGCCGGCGGCTCGGGGGTCGGCGTCGGCGTCGGCGTCGGCGTCGAGCTCGGCGTCTTTGCGGGTGTCGCAACGGCGCCGGCTTCCGTGGACAGCGTGGACGAGCTCGAGGTGGACGTCGAGGAGGAGGCCGAGGTCGCCGTCGACAGGTCGCCCATGATCAGGAGGAAGCCCGGGCTGCTCAGCTCGGGCTCGTTGGACTTGAAGACGCCCGACGGGGAGGGGGGCTTGAACCGCAGCACGAATTTGGCCGTCTGCTTGGCCATTTCTATGGTATGGCCGAGAGTCGGGACCCTCCAGTTCATGTTGCCGTTCCTGCGGAGGTCGACGTTCTCTGCCGCGGGCGATAATTTCAGCCTCTATTCACATCGACCCTATCTTCCCACCTCTCTCGGGACACGGTAGCCAGTCTTCTTAACCCAGCAGTGACCATCCAAGACGAGACGGTTGACAAAGAGACGAAACAACTCACCATTTATACGATACTCGTAACGCGGATCGTTAGGGTCCCAAGTTGTGAGCCATAGGTCGCAGACGGTGCCATTGTACGCGTTCCACGACAGGGGGACGAGCTGTCCAAGCTGGAACGTCTGGCTCAAGTCCTTTGCCTTGCCGCTTGGGACATTCCAGACGGCCTCCTGCACCGTCCTCTGGGCCACGACGGCCGACAACAGGAGCGCGAGGCCCGCGACGGCGAGTCCGCGGCAGCGAAACATGATCAACATGAAGGGGAGGCTGATTTGATTATGGAAGGCGAGAAGAGGAGGAGATACGAGATGAACGGGCGGCGACGTGCAATACCACCGCACGGGACAAGGAGGGTCAGGCTGGGCTTTCCTGATCATGCGCACTTTGTGTAACGCTACAAAAAAGTGCTGGCGATGGGCGGGTCGAGTCAGCCGCTTGAAACCAAAAGATCCTCAGGAGGCCGACCATCATCAACAATTCTAAGCGAGCGCGCTTAGGTGATTGGCCACAGTCGCAGACGAAGGATTCAGTGCCGCAGCGGGCTGTGCCGTCTGGGGAGTTAGCTGAAATTAGCTGGCATCGACGCCTTGGGGGCGTCCGGTGGTTGGCGACGCTAGTGCAGCCAAGCCCGCCACAGTCAGGTTGGCACAGCAAGGGAGGCATACATGAGGGTATTTTAGGATATCTCTCGAGTGGGGTAAATTTGATCAATTCCTTTGCCTACCACCCCCTCCTTCCCGGAACGGCAGCCCTGGCGGCAATCGTGAGCAGAACCGGATCAAATAAGGATACTGAGCGTTTTGATACTCGTACTGAGTAGCTTCCTGCTCACAAAGGCCTCCGCAGAGGGTGCGCCTCGGTGTTCAGGACGTACTCGTCTAGACTGACGACATCGGGGGTCGAGTACAAAAGATAGAAATACTTGAGCGTCTCTGCGAGCCAGAAGCTCTCCATGCTGTCGGTGCGGGTCGACGACGGCTCGGGGGCGGTGCAGTCTGCCAACGCCGCGTGAGCAACATCGGTCTGTGTCTGTTGCACAATGTTCTCAAACATGGACCATCCCCTGTCAGCCAACGCCTGTTCGCCCGTTAGGCGGTAGAGAATGAAGATGCTCTCGATCGCCTCGGGACGTAGGATGTAGCGGCGATCATCCACGCTCACTACTCCTGGCGACAAACGCTGCTGACGAATGGTCTCGGCGACGTTAGCACCAGGTGCCGCTTTAGCACGCTCCTTGATACCCGTGTGCCATTCGGTCTCGTCCCACGCACAGGGGCCGTTGCGGGGGCAGCGCGTAACGTGCATAACCTCGGGCATGAAACCTGATGGTGCTGTCTCGTAGGACCACAGGCAGCCCTCAACCAGCTGTCTGGCTACGTCTATGTCGCCGGGGAGGTCGAGGGCGCGAGCGGCGAGGCCCACCATGCCGCCGGCGAAACAGCCCAAGTGCTGGACTACCGATTCCTGCTCAACCTTCGACCAGTGTCTCGAGCCGTCAGCCCGGGCATCGCCGGGCATCAACATCTGGGACGAGCTCTTAGTGCGCGGGCGGAAGAAGATGTTGCGCTTCATGGCAGCGATGGCCTTGACGTAGAGATCGCGGTACATCAGGGAACCGCCATTGAGAAGGAGGTATTGCTGTTGTGTATCAGCGGCGGAGAATCAGCAAGTGTCTTGGTTTGTCACATGCATATCTAAGTCAGGGGCAATAGAAGGGGGCTTGATGGCCCACACCTTGATCAAGAAGGCGCGGGCTATACTGAAAAAAGCTTACCTTTGGAAGATACTCATATGTGCTGTCGGCCATACCGCCAATTGTAAACCACCCATCGCCAGTGAAGTCGGGCTTTTCGGCGTTTACAACCACAGGCCACAGTCCGGGCAGATGAGTCTTGTCTTGTTCGTCCGCAAAGACCTCCATGACGCGCTGGACGGCATCAAAGTATTTGGGGTCGCCCGAGAGCTGGCTTAGGCGTGTAAACTCGAGAGTCAAGGAACCGATCTCGGCTACCAGAAGACCCGGAGGAGCAACCTGGGCCGGGCCACTCCCCCCGGTCCGGGCCTGCTTCAGTTCGTTGAGCCTCCAGCGGGTGATGGGCAAATGGTTAGGCGTGTCGAAGGCGATGTAGAGCATGTCGCCCAGCTCGATGGCCTTGCGCAGCAGCGAGGGGGACCGCCCGCCGCTAATGTCGTAGGCAGCGAGGAAGCCGCCCATGTAGCGGATCGTGGTCTCGAAAACATTGATCTCTTCGAGGGTGCTGGAGCTGAAGTCGATCTGGTCAATAGCACGCACGGCCTCGTCGAACTCGGACTTCATGCCCATGATCCAGAGTGTGTCGAGCGCATCTACCAAGGTGGCAGCCCAGCCGCCAAAGGGGTTGTGGGCACCGCCCGAGATAGGGCGGACCTCGTCACTCATCCAGGCATGCAGTTTGTAGCCATTCCAGGCGTGGGTGAAGTTGCTCTTGACGAGAGCGAGCCTTTCCAGACGGACCTTTCGGTCGGCGGCTGTCTCCTTGGAAAAGACGTGCTGGATACGCGGCATTTGGCGGCCAGTCGTGTCAGGCAGCCGACGCATCGACTCGGGTGGCACGGGGTAGTGAAGCGGGACGTTGGCCCAGCTGAATTGGCCTCCGCCAGCACGGGACCGGCTGCTGCTGCTGCTACTGCTGGGAGTTACCTGCCACGAGCTGGTGCGTGGCAGCCTCGGTCGGTTGTGGTGTAGGAGGAACGCAAAGAAGACGAGGACGAAGAGCAGGGGCAGCGCCCTGCGCTTCAGCGCGTTGAGCGAAGCAATCGACATTGTTGCGATGTTCACACGGGCTGTGCGACACGGAAGCCGACGGCGAAGCAGTTCCAAATGAGTGTCAAGGTGGATGGAGAAGAGCAGAGGGACTGGAGGGTCGCCTCGACGGGAGCGCCAAGCGCGCTAGATGCGGGCTCCTGGTGAGGCAATGGCGGAATAGGCTCGAGCCAAAGACGGCCTAATGATACAATTACTGAATTACACGTTGACTGATGTCGTCGGCTGAAGCAGGGTCCGCCCGGAAGTCAGTCTGCGGCTGAACATGGTTGGGGGTCGTGGAGCTGGCCAAGGCCACTAGGCTGCTCTGTACCGCCCGAACCGTTTAGACGGCAGTTTCCCGCCTGTTCGTGTCTTGCAGTCGCCTTTCTCCTCCAGCGTGCCTTCCCGTGCCCCCATGTTCCTGCCTTCTCTCGCCGTCTTAGGACAAGGTGGGGTGGAGCCAGGCAATCGCGCTGGTTGTTGGTGGTGTCACTCGGATTGGCCCCACCCTCCGCCGCCAAACAGCGCGGGGTGAACTGCCGTTCAAGAGCTGACAAGACCCAACCACGGAAGTCTCCCCATGTTTCCATCAGTAGTCGCTGATAACGCAGCTGCGGTGCCTGCCTCAAATGATACCTAGCTACCAGTACGTATCTAGATCTATTTTGGTCGAATTGCTTGTTCATCGAACAAGGTCCCAGTTGTGAGGCCGACCCTCAGACATTCCAACTCTTGATTGTTTTCTCCTTTCTATCCTGTCATTCCACCTAAGCACCTCGTCTCTATATTGCATGGTGCATATATCATGTATAAACTCACAATAACCTCGTCACTGGGACTTCCTTCGGGCCTCCTTCCCCTCGTATTCAAGATAGCATAACCCCTCGTGATGGCATCTAGTGGCTACTTCTCATCATCCCCCTTAGTCATAGAAAGCCAAGAGGCCTCGAAGGGGCGAGAGCAAACCGGACAAGCTCTTGGTCTGACGAGTATACACGCGACAGACAGGCCAGGTGAGTATCATGAAATCACCACAGTAAAGCTCTACCTTGAGGGATCCACGCCGCACCCCCACGAGGTGGACATTGAGGTCTGGAGGCTGTGCAAGATGGAGGCGGCGCAGCGGTACGAAACGGGGGCGGATCAGAAATTGATGCACATGTACGGGTCAGCGCATCTACCTGCTGAGCTGTACGACCACCGTGCCTTGAAACAAGGAAGTGGGAGGAACGGAACGGGAGGAGAGAGGTAGAATATTTACGCCCATGCGGCGACCACGTTTCACAAATGCAAACATGCGCGTTTCCTTGTTCATCCTTACCATTACCCCTGACCTGACCTACAGAAAGTAAACGTGGATGCCAAAATGGGGGCGAAGAGAAGATGCATTTTATGATTCGCTGTACGATGAAACCAAGCGTCCCAGAACACAACTCTAGGTGATATAGATAGGACTAAAACTAGGAGAACTGAAAGGAAAAGTCTGGGAATTGAAAAAAAGACCGCGGCGCCGGATATCATACCAAAGATCGTAACAATAGGCCAAGGGACAGGAGAACCCAGTGGCTAGATTCTCCTCACGTCTGCCACATCTGCTCGCTGAGGGCCAGCATCTTGTCGGCCATTTGCCTCTTGGCGGCGCTGGCGATGCCGCGCTCTGGGTTTGACAGCTGCTCACTGAAGCAGAGCTCGACGAGGGCCTTGAGCTCGTCGTAAGAGAAGCGGTGACCACCGCCCCCGGTGGCGGCGGCGCCATCCTCCCCGACCGGCGCGGCGGCGGCGTCCGCCTTGGCCCTCTCGACGATGGCGTCGGGTCCGGCCTCGAACAGGGAGAAGTAGTCGTCTGCGCGCGAGAGGCTGACGCCCTCCTCGATGTTCTTGAGGTTCTGCTGCAGCACCAGGATGTTGAGCCGCATGCGGCCGCAGCCCTTGGAGTTCATGGGCGACACGAGCGGGGCGTTGCCGACCAGGTACGAGTTGATGAGCAGGCCCAGCCCCTGGCGCACAAACGAGACCTCGCGCTCGCGCAGGAACCGCGCCGTCGTCTCGTCGTACGCCACCAGCTCGCCGTTGAGCGAGATGATCTGCGGGTCCGGCTCCGTGACCTCCTGATCCAGCAGGTAGGGTGCCGTGTCGGGCGACAGCGCCGTCCGCAGCGAGTACACGATGCGACACCGCACCTCCATGTGAAGCGTCAGCAGCGCCGTGGCCGCGAGCTCCTCGTATGACGCGACGATATTGTCGAAGGAGCTAGTGAAGAAAGTTAGCTAGCGTTCCCATTATATCATCGCTCAGGCCAGAAAGCCGCCCCAGAACAGCTGAAGCTTACTTGACAGTCTCCTGCGTCATGGGGAGGTAGACGGGCCCGTGCTCCGTCGTCGCCTTGGACGGGTCGTTGTAAAGCGTCCATCGCCGGCCGCCCTGCTGCTTGGGCAGGTTGTTGGACGAATCGGCGTCGCTCTTGGTGATGTGGCGCAGGCCCACAACCTTTGCGGCCAGCCACTTCATGCTCGTGTAGAGCAGGCAGAGCGATGAGATGGTGTCGCGGTCCGAGATGATGTCGCCCATCTCGAGTCGCTTCTCGTTGGTACGCTCGACCAACAGCGCGATCTCCTTGCCCAGGAGGCCCGCGTTGGCCTCGACGCCGCCCTCGGCCGTCCAAAGCTGCTTCATTGTTTCGAGAATCTCGGACGACTGTGTGGCCATTACGGCGGACACGCGCAGCGTTTGCCGCTCGACATTGGCGTCCTCCTCCGTCTTTGCCACCAGCGCCTGGTACCAGCCTAAGCAGCGGTCGTAGTAGCGCATCATCTGCCCGATAATCAGGGTGCTGAGCGCCTGGTCGTGTGGGATCGTGCCCAGCATGCGGCAGAAGGCCGTCACTATGGCGAAGAATGCCGTGGCTCCCTTGAACACCGGGCGCCGCGCCACCAGGCTCCAGTCCGGGTCTTGCTGGAACGAGTCCGACTCGCCAAAGACTGTGTCGCTCAGCTTGCCCAGCGTCTCGTCCAGCTGGGGCTGGAACACGTTGACCAGGAAGTTATCCAGAAACGACGTCAGAGTACTCGTCGCCAGATCCGACCCGGGCGGCACTATGCCCTTGAGCCGCTGCAGAAAAACTAGGGTCGGGGGTAGTAGGAGGCTCATGTTGAAGACGCTGGGCTCAACTAGCGATTTGTGGACGTCGCCACTCTGTCGGCTGTTGCCCTCGAACCCGCCTATGCCGGTGCTGCGCTTGCCGGCATCGCCACGCCCCACGCCCTGCTGCTGCTGCTTCTTGTCGCCCGGCTTGCGGCCGGCGCTGGTCAGGCCCGGAACAGCGGCACGGATAATGCCGTCCAGCTCATCGTACTCGGTCGTCATCTCGGTAGACTTGACATCCGAATTAGAAAACTTGAAGAAGTCCTGCCTCGTCTTGGAGGTGCCGTCTGACGTTGCCCCAGGTCTCGGAGAGTTGAACTGGTAAACGTCCGCGTCGGTCGTAACGTAGCTGTGGAGGAGAGACCGGAGCTCGTTCTGGTACAGGTTCCAGAGCTCCTTGAAACTCCCAAGAAGAGCGATGTTGTTGCCTGCGCCCTCGCGGCGGATGAGTGACTTGATGTACTCATGGAGGACCCTGTGGCCCTCGGCTATGGCCTCAAACTTGCCGTAGAGGGTCCACAGCAGGTCATGGATGACGTCGGCCCTGAGCTGTGTCTCGCGATTGCCGTAGACGTGGAGCCCCTGGGGGCCCGTAGAGCCACCTCTAAGCGAGCTCGGGTGCTTCTGGTCGACTTCGTTGATGGTCTCGTTGACGATAGAGAATAGCTCAACCGGCAGACGCTGCTTCAGCGTATCGACGGCCGTCTCGAGACGGCCGAGCTTGTTGAGCGATTCGATGACTAGCGAGATGTAGTAGAACGTGTCGGCCTCGGGGTTCCGCCCCGGATCCTCCTGCACGGCGCGATCGAGGTCCATGGTATCGAGAACGCCGAGGAAGGGAGCCAGGTTACTGTTCTCGGCGAAAGCCTCGCTGAAGGAGCCCTGGGACTTGGCCAGGTTCTGCCACCTCTCCTGGCAATAGGGGGACTTGAGGTACAGGTGCTCGTGCAGCTCCTCGACAAGTATGTCCATCAGGGCCGTCTCCTGGTTGGCCAGGTAGCTGCGCAGGTCGACCAGGGCGCCGATTCCGTCGAGCTCGGGCTTGGTCAGCTTGCGCAGGGCCGTCTGCAGCACCTCGACCGCCGTCAGGAAGCGCTTCTCAGAGATGCGGGCCTCGAGCTGGTCGGGCACCTGGCGCAGCTCATCGACCTCGCCCAGGGCCTGCAGCAGGTCGTCGTACATCTGCGACGAGTTGTATAGCTTCTTGAGCTCCGGGTCGGTCGTGCACAGGCTGACCTTGGCGGCGGCCAGCGATTCCTTGAGGCCGCGCACCTTCTTCTGCGAGGCCTGGATGCTGCCCTGGATCTTGTGGAACGTGCCGATGGAGCTGTTGAAGCCCTGGTGGTAGTCGTGGACGATGTTCTTGAGCGAGTCTTGTAGGTAACGGTGCGTGTTCTGGAAGTTGCGGTACTCGTGCGCCCGCCCGACCGAACTGCTATCCAGCAGCTGCAGTGCCAGCTGCACGGGGACGCAGTCCGTCTGGCACATGGCCGGCCAGTCCTTCTTGATGTGCTCCAGCACCTGCGCGATCTGCCGCTCCGCACTCGACTCGTATCCGGCTCCGGCTCCACCTCCACCTCCGCCTCCGCCTCCTCCGCTGCGCTGCTGGCTCGGCCGCGGCGGGGGCACATTGTAGCGGGACGCCGGCGGGGGCGCGGGCGGGGGAGCGGCTCGGGCGCTCATCTGGCTCCTTGGGGATTCGGTGTAGCGGTCATCTCCGTACTTGCTGCCGCCGCCGCCACCATAGTCGTCGTCGCCATATCTGTTCCCGCCGCCACCTCCTCCGCCGCCACCTCCTCCGCCTCCTCCTCCTCCGCCGCTGCCGCTGCTCCCGTAGCTATCGCCGTATGGGTCGTAGTCCCCGCCCTCGCGGTCGTCCTGGGAGCGCCGTCCAAAGTTGCCGTATCCGTTGCCGTTGCGGGAGGATCCGCCGTATCTGTTCGACATGGTTTCCGAGGATGGCCCGTTATGACATGGTCGATTGGCCTGGCGATAGAGACCCACACCCGTCGTAATTGCCTGTTGTTTGTGGCCGTCGTTTCACAGCTTCTCGAGCTGCCTCGGTCTCAGGGAGAATGGTCAAGCTTGGCGAGCCAGCCCGCTGGCACTTGGGCGCCCGCATTGGCCACGACCCTAACCCCCGCCTCTCCACTTACCCCAATGCAGGCCCGTGCGCCCACATGAAGCCCCCGTTCGACTTCACCAGCTTCGCCAGTGACAGGGGTCCGATTTTTTTGAGACGAGCCTCCCGCACCGAGCACGAGGCCGCAAGCGCAACGAATACCAGCAGCCATTGACCACCCCGCGCGCAGCCAGGCAGGATGAGCGGGCTGCGCGAGATGTCCCGGTGCATCCGGCAGATACCAGTGCCGTCACTGTCGCGGCCGGCATACCAAGCAGCCTTCCGCAGATGCGCCTCCACACAGGCCGCCGCCGCCCCGGCTGAGCCCGCGCCCGCCCCGGCACAGGTGCTGTCCGAATTCGCCGACCTCGAGCTGGAGGCTTCCAGCATGAAATCCAAATTCGGCGAGGGCGTCAAGCAGAGGCCGCCCAAGGACCGCTACTTCCGCAGGAAACAGCAGCTCCCAGGAAGCAGGTTGGTCTGCTCTTCCCCCGCGCTGCGGGGAGTGGGATCTGCCGGCTGACGCGCATGCTCCTCCAGATACCAGTACCACCCGCCCAAGTACGACCGCGGCCCGCTACACCCCATGCAGTCGCCCAAGTCGTCAGACCCCGTCGCGCGAGACTTCATCCCGGGGCCCTTCAACCTGCCGAGGCTGCGCCAGACGTACGAGACGACGGTCGCGTCCGATTTCCTCACGCTAGCATACACGCACAAACCGCCGGGCACCATAGAGCCGTCCGTTAACTTCCAGGACCTCATGTTCCGCGAGTGGGACGACTCGTCCCCCTACCACAAGAACCGGCCCAAGCGCGCGCCCAGGGGCTCGTCCGTGTCGCGCCTCGTCGAGCCCGACATCATCTTCAACAACATACCCGAGATCACCGAGGTCACGGTCGCCTCGTACTCGCCCGACGCCGTCAGGAACGAGATGTACCTCTGGGTCGCTCGCGCTATGCTCCAGAGCATCAGCGGCCAGGTGCCCGAGGTGACCAAGAACCGCGTCGGCGTCGCGCAGTGGGGCGTCATGAAGGGCAAGGCCTCGGGCGCAAAGGTCACGATGCGCGGCAACAATGCCTACGAGTTTATAGACAAGCTCATCCACATAGTCTTCCCCCGCATCAAGGAGTGGCAAGGGATCCCTGGCAGCACTGGTGACAGCCAGGGCAACATTTCCTTCGGCCTGAGACCTCAGGACATGGTGCACTTTCCCGAGATGGACTCCAACATATCTGTACGTTTTGGCCTTTCCTCGTTGCATTTACCACATAATGGTTATTTTTTTGGTATGAGCAACGTTGGACTAACTCGTTCCTTCTCCACAGATGTACCCTCCCAAGATGACCCCTGGATGCCGCATTGCCATCAAGACAACAGCCAAGTCCAACCGTCACGCTAGGTTGCTCATGCAGTCTTTGGGGATGCCATTTTATGGGGAACTGGCCTACTGATCCTTGGGAAATAGCATGGGCAGTGGCGGGTCTATATTGTAAATAGACACCTCACTATCCGTCTGTATAAACAGAATAAAAAACCGTAAAACGTCTGCAATGTCACAAACCGCCCTTGTGTTCACTTTTGCTCGAATTTTAGAGCCTGATGTGAAAGCTTCCCCCTGGAATTTTGATATCCACTACCCTTATCCCCCCACTTAATAACGAAATGCATCTGCCAACATAACGCCAATTTTGTAGCATCCTATCCCCGAATCCCAAACGCCGATTAAATGCTATCGTATCGGTTTTTTTTTGGTTTTTTTTTGTTTCTTTGTTTCCCTCTTCGCCGCAAGGCCTAGACCGCTGCGGGGGGTTTGGGGATCGCCGCCCTCAAACCGTTCATGACGGCGTCGACGGCGTCCATGTTTGCCGCGTCGACCTTGTCCGCGTTGCCGCCGCCCTGCTTGGCGGCCTCGGCGACGAGCGCGTCCATGGCGGGCTGGTAGTTCCTGCAGGCCGAGCTGAGGGCGAAGACGGCCTTGCGGCGCACGTTTACGTCCTCTTCCCCGCTCGTCGTCATGGCCAGCAGGCGGGGCAGGCCACCGAGCGCGAGCAGGCGCTCCTGGCTGGGCTCGTTATTCTGGACGGCGGTGCCGACGCACCAGGCGGCCATGCGGCGCAGGTCGGCGTGGTCCGACTCGAGCAGGCCCAGCAGCGGCGTCCAGAGCGAGAGGTTGGACAGGTTGTTGGCGTTGTCAAGCGACTCGATCAGCTGCTCGAAGTTGTCAAACGCCACCAGCTTGGACTCGAGCGTCACCTCCGGGTCGGTGCTCGTGATGACCTCCATAGCCGCCTTCATCAGCTCGGCCTCGGACGGCCCGCCGAAGAGCGCCTTGAGGATCTCGGGGTCCATCGGCTGCTGCTGCCGCGGCGCCGCGTCGTCAGCGGTGCCGTCTGGGTTGGTCGAGTTTTCGATGCCCCATTTCAGCAGCGTGTTTAGGTTTTTGTCCATCGCGCAAAGATTTGGGTCAGAGCAACTGAATAATTGGTGTTTTATGAGAGCTCTTCTGCGGCAAGCGAGATTCTGAGCAGTCAATGTCAGGGAATCAATGCGATTTTCTCAAGGCAATCTTGTCGCGTTCTTTTTTATGCGCGGGGCAGCCTTGCCTTGCATACCAACGGCGTCACAGTTACCAAACTGGGGAAGTTTCAAGAAGCTTCTATTCCAAAGTGGCTTAGTGCAACCTACAGCCCCACTAGATTGAGAGGTCACCCAACCGCTCTGAGCAGCCAAGCCATTAGGATGCAGCTATCCATCGGATTGTATTGAGATGAACGTACCTACCATCCACCTACCTACCAGGGGAAATAGGGGGTATTTATGTCGACTGGCTTTGCTTGGGGCTTTGTGGGTGCGTGTTCGTGCCTTAACCCGAGCTGGAGCCGCCCCTATCCAAAATGATAGCTACCTACCTACCTAGGTACATATATAGGTACCAGTACCTTGATGAAAATGCTCAGGATGTAGGCGCGCTAGCACTCGCGAAAGATGAAACGCTATAAAGGAACAGTAAATGGAACGCCATTAGGCTTCATAAAAAGACTGTCTAGCTTCTGGATTGCTTTCTTCTTTTAACTCCTGCTCCATCATGACATCCGTCAGGACGCTACCTCCTTGCCCAACCTCTCGAGCTCCTGAGCGATGAATTCGCCGGCGTTGAGCATCTCGGTGCTGCCGTATACAACCCTGCGCTTGACGCGGTCACCGCCGCCGCTCGTGCGTGCCACCCACTCTAGAAGATTCCCGTACTCATCCATGCTGCCTCCACCAACGGTGAAGACAACTGCTTCGGTAAAGCCCTGACGCCGCTGTCCAAAGCTGGCCGCAGCCGCTCCGGAGCCAGAACTGGGCATTCCGCCAGGGGGGCCACCTGCGCCGGCTGCCGACGAGCCAGAGCCACCCGCCCCAGATCGCATAGCTGAGGGTGGGGGCATGGTGCCCCTAGCGCTGGCGGAGCGTGGGTCAAAGTAGAGATAATGCTCAGTCTTGGCGATGGCCGTGGACGATGCGGCCGAGGGGTCCATGATGGACTCGACGATCTTGGTGATTGTGAGGTCGCGGTTTGCGGGCAGGAAGTTCTTGATGCCGCCGATGAGCGAGTCCAAGTTTGCACTGAGTGCTGTGGTGGGGACACCGGACTCCTTCAGTCTGTCAGTCAGCCGCGAGCTGATGTTGGAGAAGCGCCCGAAGAGGTCCGACCCTTGCTGGGGTTGTGCCCCAGAAGAGTTGATAGTAGTGAGCTGCGTCATCTTGGTAGTTGCCCGGACTCTAGTTGGTGCATATTATGTTAGCGGGTCAGACGGACGAAAGGCAGAGGGGCAGCATAGTGGCTCACTGTCGAATATACGGCAAACACGTCCCATCTACACCGGCCGCGGTAAGTGCCTCCTCAAACTGCTGCCATTCTTGCCTGTTAAGGTCTTGTTCTGTGCTCAAGAACCAGATGATAAACAGACGGAGCTTGTCCAGGGGATCTTTCCCCTTGTCCCCATCCTTGATCATCTCGAGAAGCTGCGCTTTTGTCTGCTTGGCCACATTCTCTTCCAGCTGAAAGAAGTTGTCAAGCTGCCTGTTCTTGATGCCGGTCAAGAGTGCAGCGAGGATGTTCATGTGCATGTCTAGCGTGGCCTTGCGTTCCCTGAGCTCAGGCAAAAGCGTGATTGCAGCCTTGAGATGTTGGGCGCTCGCGCTCGTGTCGTTCTGTAGGTCCTCGAGGTCCGTCACCCCTGTCTTTTTGGTGATTGCGGCCGCATCTTCCTTGTACTTGGTCAGCTCGGCGTCGATGTCCTCGGCGACTTGCGGGAAGGGAACTCCGGCGTTCCGTTCCCAGAAGTAGTCACTCGCGCTCAAGTCGTATGCTTTGCGGGTTACGCCCTTGGCTGGATTGCTCTCGTCCACCGGGGTCTCGATTGTGATCCGGTTCAGTTTCATGTTGAGAACATCGTGCACCAGGGACTGGTAAGTCCAGGAGTGGGATAGCATCGGAATAAGATCTACGTTGCGATCCAGGATTATGAGAACAGGCCTGGGTGCGGGGTTTGCCGAAGATGATGCTGCGCGGTTGTTGGCAGCCGAGAACAGGTTGTCTTTGGAGTTTAGAATGTGGTCGCGGAGCTTGCGATCCAGTTTGGCCGAGATCATCTCGGCGGCTTGGCCCTTCGGACATCGAATAATTGGTATGACCCCTATTCCCCTGTTAGCCAAAACAATCGAGGCAGTGTGGTCGCGCGCAGCATGCCTCTTGGGACAAACTTACCCATAGTTACCACGACACTAAAGAGACCGCTCACGATTCGGTCCACCACGTTGTCCAGCTCTTCGTCTTTAGTTTTGGCACTGTTCAGGGCCCAATAGGTGTGCTCTTTCTGCATCCCTAGACTGAACAAGTCGGGCTCGGCGACGATGAAGTTTAGGTACTGGTCAAAGAGTTGCGCGATGTGTTCCGAGGTCTCGGCGGCAGCGGTTTCTGTGGCGAAGTCTTCTAGAAGCGGACGGGGTATTGATGAGAGGAAGTTGACGTATGCGGGGGAGTAGAGGCCCTTCTGGAGATCGGCTGTGATGCCTTGGAGGTTCTTCTGGGTGGGCTCGACGAGATAGATTACGGGAACGTCGGATATCGGATGCCTTGACGCTGCGATGTGCCTATAAAAGGGGCCGTGGCCATCATGTCAAATAGAGTCCCCGGCTAAGCAAGACGCCTGATGTCGTAGTTGGGAGGTGAGGGCGTGCGCACATGTGCATAGTGACGCCCAGAGATCGCAGGTCGCTGACGCGCAGCACACTGCTGATCACGTCGCGGCCGAGGTCATCAAAGACTAGGACCTTCCAGATGGGCTCCCCCTCAGCGTTTAGGATGGGCGACGAGGGGCCGAGGGCGCCGTTGGCGAGGGGCTCCTCGCCCTCTCCTTGCTCGAGCGCATGGTTGAGGTTGAGGATTTTCTTCAAGGAGGCTGGGCGGTCGTTCAGCATCTACTGTCTGCCTCCCTCTTAGCGACGGCCGAGGATACTGACCTATTTGGCGGTCCCGTAGAGAGTGCGCGCGCGCAGCCATGGTTGTTGGCCGTCTAGGGAGCTGCGGGATGGCGTGGGAGGCTGCTCTTGGCGGGGGGGGGGGTCGAGGTGATGCGGATCAACGTGCGGTCACGCCATGCAATTTGGGCTATGTGCGGACGATTACTTGGTTCGGTAGTCTTTCGAGAAGGCGAATATGTGTGGCCTGGAATTGGTGTTTTCTCCGGCTGGTGCACTCTTTCTCGTTCGCATGCCGATGCCTTCTGGCGTCGGAGCTTGCTTGACACGTTGACGTCTGCGGTCCCACCTGCGCAATTGCCAGCAGCAACTAGAGCGGCAGGCCCAGCTAGTCCTGTTGTGGACAGAGCTCTCTGGAATTCGACACGAATTTCAGGGAGCAAGTGCAGCCAATGATTCAGTGCAGGCAGGCTTCGGCGGCCGGGCAGTCATAATATCCGCTGCGTGCGTCGCGCCAGTCCCTGCCGCCGGGAACCACTGCGCGCAGCGAGATCAGGTGGGGCAGTGGGTAGTTGCGGGCCAGTCAGACGCGGAGCGTGCCACGCTGGGTCCTGGGACAGCTGGCGGCTGATTTGAGAAAGCGTAGGCTGCGACCAAGTTTTCCTTTCCTTCAACCACGTCCTCGACCAACGCCACTCTTCCGGCTCCTCAAACACCCTAACGCCCATTCGCATCGTGCCCAAAACACCGACCGCCATCGTTCTCGACACTGCCGGCCACATCTCCAGAGACCGCTCCGGAGCCTCATTGAAATACCTGACCCGAGGCGACGCCTGAGCGCCCATCGCAGCAAGCCCGACCGTCCATTTGACTGGCTGATCCCAAACAGACAGTCGAGGCGCCGCACGCTTCCATCTGCCCTGACAGATTAACTGCCTGGTTTATCAAAAGCCATGTCGTAACTTGATGCGTCTTTCTCGTCGCTAGAGGGGAGCCCACCGGGAGGTGCAGGCGGGTAGTAGGAAGAAACAGGTTAAGTTGATCGCGACACGTTTGGTTGCAGGGTATGCTCTCACCACATCCGCCCCCCGTTTCCCTAGTCCGAGTCCGTCCAAAGCATAGCACCGCACAGCACCTCGCAGCCCAGCACCCAGCCCTTCCCATCTTGCCATTTCCCCAACCAACAGCAGCAACATGCCGCGCAAACGCACAAGGAGCACCGCAAGTCGTATCATCGCCCAAATTGCAACATTGCATCAGTGCTGCCCGATTGCCCCGAGGCTCGTTCGCGGTCAAATGCGCGAGCCGAAGGAGTTGGGCGGTTGAGGCAGCAGGGAGTGTCGCCTGCGCGCAATTGAAAATGCGGGAAGGAGAGCCCTCAAGAAATTCCCTGCCATGATGGGAGGGAGAGAGGTGCCACTCGACCGTTTGAGAATGCGACCAAAGAGCCGCAGAAAAAAGGCATGCGCGCATGGCCGGTCAATTGGGCATTTGAAGATGGAACCAGTTGTTCGCCTACGTTGGGAGGCCAGCGCCAGCCGGAAATTGATACCTGCTGGGTACATTCGACTCTCGTGGACTCTTTTCTTCCTTTTTTATTCTCTTTGCTTGGCGTCATTCAGTCGGTTCCGGCGCCCACTCCCTGAATCGCCGCCAGATCGCCTGCAGCCACAGGGTTTCCAGGCCCACGATCACCAAACTCCCAGCAGGCCCGCCGACAGCGCAAATCTGCACATAATGGGCCAAAACATAGCATGACCCAAGGAGCCCGCGTTCAACTTGCACCGGGAAGCTCGCGCCGTGCTCATATCCATTCTTTTCATCCATATTTCAACAGGAGCCCATCCGCTATCACTGGCAACTAATTCCTCGTCGTTAGCATTGGCTGCGGGAGGTTCTTGGGAGTACGGAATCTGGTGGCGGACCCTCTGCGTTCTATCCAGGTCGACAAACCGCCCGCCAGGGGCACACGCGACCATCAAAGCACGGCACCTCACCACGACACACATCCTCAGCAACAAACCGCCTGTCCGCTCATGCGCCCATAAGGCCTTGTTCGCAACGAACCTGCTGGAGTCTGGAGTCACATCACATCAACACTGCGCATCCGCCAAGCCCTATTCCCAACTCCTGTCGCCTTCTCCGTGGCCTGGCTGTGGACAGCCCTCCCTTTTCCTTCCGTCAACTGTCACTCGCTCACTGATTTCCTCTCCTTGCACGCATTCGGAGCACACATCAGGCTGTTTCTTTGTCCGTTCTTGTGACTGATTGGCTTTGGTGCGTACAGGACCCCACCAAGCCCCGCCTTTGGACTAGCTTCGACCATTGCCCCTGGCAGCGGCATCCGTCCGACTGCCACACGACTTATAAACTCACGCTACGGCTTCGACTCTTGTTTCCCAATTAGCGGAGATACTTTACGGCGCAGCCACACACACCCTATCTCCAATTCCCATTCTCCACATCTTTTGATATAGACACGCCCCACACCTTCGCGACACTTTTCACTACCTCTTTTCCTCCCTCTCACAAGAGTCGCCCCATATTCCGTGTGCATTTTATTGAGGGTCTTTCTGAATTTGGGAGCCCGGGCATTTCATCAGAGTGAAGCTACTGGGTTTCAACTCATTATTCCCCACGCCGCTGTCGCTGTTGAGCTGACGAGTAAGTACATGCAAATGTTCCCGTCTTGGATGCACACGCCTCGTGCAGACCCCACTTGTTAGGTGGCGACC